GACTGGTCCTTCAGGGTTGGGTCGATAACCTGTACCTCTGGAGCCTCTAGTTACTGACTCTGCATGAGCCCTTACTCTTGGAAGAGAAACTACTTTCTCACAGTCTAGCACCACAGTATGTTAACCACTGTGTGTCAGGCTATGGTTCCACCATGGTTGGAACTCAGCCACAGGAGCTGGTGAAGAAGAGAAGGAAGCTTGAGAAAGTGGGGTGAAGTGGGACATCTGACCTTTCCCAGATGCTGGTCCCAAAGTACAATGTCAATAAGATATGTAGGCTGGAACTTGGCTCAGGATTTAGTCTGTATTTGAGAGGCCCAAAGGGGAAATGGCCAAGCACTAGAAAGCAAAGATGACAACTTGAGTGATTCTAGTTGCATCTCAGTCTGGCAAGACTGGGTCAGGAGGGGGAGTCCCACGTCTGTGGAGAGCAGCTGGAAGCGAGGAAAGTAGTAAAGCCTTTGGCAAAGGCACAAATTTGAGTAGAGGACAGATAAGCATGCATGAGAGCCATGAGGCATGTAAAGACGGATGGGCAGAAGAGGCGGTGTGAGGACATGATGGAGAGATTCACACAGCAGAGCAGAAAATGTGAGGGCCAATGTGCTGCAGAAGCCTGGGAGCCTCAACAGGGCTGGAGAGGAGACTGAGGGGCAGGGAAGCCTTGGCTAGGCTGAAGACCCAACCATCTGAAGGCCCAGCTGGGGCAGGATGACCAGTGTCAGGCTGAGTGCTCAGTCTGGGGAATGGAGAGTAGAGAGTAAATAGGCATAAGCAATGGAGCGAAGTCAAGTATGTTCAATTACAGGTACATGCCTATAACAAGTGTTAGAGCAGGGACTTCCTGCTCTCAGAGGAGGCTTAGAGGTGGCATGAGTAGCTACTTTCTCTGGGTATGAGAAAAGCATGTGGAAACTTCCAAAGACAGATAAGTGGAGAAAATTGTTTAATAAGCCCCATGCCCCAACTCTAGCAATTACCAATTACAGTCCAGATTGTATCCCCCACACCTCCACCCATTACTCTTTGCCCTAGGTTTTTTAAAAACAAATCTCAGTCATTTTGTAAAAGTTTCAGTGTGTCAGTCTGAAAGATGAGGACTCTCCTTTTTAAACTTAACCCCAATGACATTATCAGGTTTCCAAGTTCCTTAAGGTAAATCATTCAAAATCTCTATTCAGATCTCAAGCAGCCAATCAGTACTCACATTCCCTACATTGCTGCTGAATGACTTCCTTTTTGTTTTCCCAGTTGTTTGCATCTAAATAAACAATGTCCATTAAAAAAAAACTCTCAAGATATCATCTCATCCCTGTAAGAATGGCATATATCAAAAAAAAAAAAAAAAAAAAACAACTGGAAACAATAAATGTTGGTGAGGTTACGTAAAAAAGGAACACTCATTTGCTGTTGGTGGAAACAATAAACTGGTACAGCTTCTATGGAAAACAGTATGGAGATTCCTTAAATAACTGAAAATGAATCAGTAATAACACTTCTATACATTTTTCCAAAGAACATGAAAATACTAATACAAAAAGACCCAAGCATCCCTACGTTCATAGACGTATTTTTCATAAGAGTTAGAACATGCGACCAAACCTGTACAGAAAACTGAATGATGAAATTGTGGTATATATGCTCAATGGAATACTATGCATCTATTAAAAAGGCTGAAATAGTGTCTTTGGGAACAAATTGGATGGATTTTGAAGTAATTTTGCTGAGTGAAATAAGTCAGAAAGTGAAAGACAGTTACTAGGTGATTTCACTCATTTTTAGAATATAAATATCCAAAGGAAACAAGCTAGAATAACAAAACAAAATCATTGTCAGAATCTGTGAAACATAAAGTGGTTATCAGAGGGCAGGAGGAAGGAACGAAGAATAGTTGAGGGAGAAAACAGGACAGTGTATATCACTAGAATTTTGGTGGAGGGTGAGTGAAGCCCATGCACATATGGAGGTAGGAAGTTGTATTCCCCCAATGATATAATTATGTAAACAAACGGAAAAGCAATAAAATTTGATTTAAAAAAAAAACAAAGGGGGAGGAGGAAGGAGAAGAGTAGAGGTTGGGGAGAGAGCACAATGGACTCTGGTGGAGGACTATGAGTGTTTAGGTGGTAGGAGGGCTATGGTGATCACTCCTGAGAAATCCTGTACTGTCAAAATATTAACAAGGATGTAAAACAATGGTACTACATTTATATCTCTCTATATATATCACAAGTCGCTTTCAATTTATAGACTTCCTTCTCTTGCCTTTTTGGTTTTACATTCTTTTTGTTATAGTTGTTGATGACGGTGATGATGATGATATTAAAACACCAGGTCATGGGTCAGAATACTTACCCATTATTGGTTTTGCTGATGGCATTTCTGTGTGTCATTTAATTTATCCCTTTGTCACATTCCTTATAAATTGGTGGACTTTTCTGGCATGATGACATTACAGGTGGCAGTTACTTTTACTGGGAGGAGGCTCATATCTGACTGTTCCTCGTTTGTGATGTTTGGCAAGCCAGGATCCCCTAAATTCTATCATTCTTTATGCACTTATAATCCCAAGTACTTCTATATGGAGAAACCTTCATAAGTGATTTGATTAACCTGAAGTTTGGCTCATATAGAGGAGGCAGGGTACATGTTTCTTTCCTTTTATTTACCAGTTTTTGAAATAAGAGTTTGTTGCCTAGATCTTCTAAAGACAATCGGTGGGGCTTTTTTTTTAAGCATTACTCTGAATTTCTGAATATAAATATATTTGATGTGCTTCCAGGATGGGATATGTACAGGTCTTTTAGGATGTTATAAGATGGGTTTTTCAGTGCAGGGAGATGACTGGACTGGGCAAACTCTCATATAAGAGCGTAGGACCATTTGAATGGTACAGTCATGTGATAACTCAGATGACTGCTCTAGACTTCGAGGAGAAGCTATCATCATGAGGGAAACTGTCAGGTAGTCAATCCTAAACAAACAATAAAGGTACTTGAAACATATCACACACCTACATATATGATTTGCTATTTGTCCCTCTGATGCAGTTTATTTATTTATTTCAACCTTGAAATTATCTCCATTATCTCTTCAGATATTTCCTCCACTCCTTGTTTATATCAGTCCCTTTTTGTTCCAGTTCTAACCTGGATATTAGTTAGAAAATTTTCAACCTTGGGCCTCCCCAGTGGCTCAGCGGTTGAGCACTGGGTTGCGAAGCTGCCCGCAGCCTCTGCAGCGCTGGTTCGATCCCCGGCTGCTCCCCGGCCACCGGAGGAGGGTCCCACATGGCGCGCAGACCTCTCCTGCCGCCTGCTGCTCCCCTCAGCAGTGTACTTTGGTCCTTCTGCCTGCTCTGCTCCCCGCTCTGGCTCTGGTGAATTCTCTCACCCTCCCGCGCTTCTGACTGTACCCAGTGCATGTATAAATAAATAAAAATAAATCTTTAAAAAAAAAAAAAGAAAGAAAATTTTCAACCTTTTCCTAATGCCTCTGGAGAGTTACTGAAACTACCCTTCCAATCACTGATTCATCTTCAGTTGCTCTATTTTATTGTTATCGCAGGTGATGAATAAATAGCACCAATGAATATTCACTCTATTATACTTTTCACTCCTAATATTTCTATCATTTTAATTTCATATTTTTCCTTATTCATATTGCTATTATCATCCTCACCTTCTTAAATATGTTTATCATGATTATTAGTTTGGGTCTATCTGCTCTAATAATTCATTTTCAGTTGGCTTGTGCCCACCCACTGTGGCTTTCTTAGTAATTGTGCTCCTGATATGTCTAGTTATTTGGCCCATAGATTCATGTTCCCCTGGAGTTTCAGCCCAGTAAATTTGGGGCGGGTGGGTGAGTGATGGTGAGCCAGAACTGAAGTTTCAGGTACAAGGAGCCACTGTCTGTCACTCCCATTTTCAGACACTAGACAAGATCATTCCTAGGTTTCCACCCTTCGGTAGAAGCAATATTGAAAGGAAATCAACCTAACAGCCTGAGGGCCTAATGAGGTAGAGGGGTAAATAAGGGTGGAGGAGTTAGTGTGCAGCTGCTTTAATTCCTCACCCCAAAAGCACTCTGGGGCTATTCTGCTATTACCTGAGGACTCCCACACCAGCAGCTTCTGCGGTGACCACCATTTCTATTGTGAGAGGCGGGTAAAGATTATCTCAAGGCAATAGGGGGAGAGAAGAGAGCACAACCTAAATTTCATCCTACTTAAACCTCCTAAACACTCAGATTAAGGTCGTCTTCAGGCCCCCTGTTGTGTTTACTCTTCTGTTTTACTCCCTGAACCCCAACTCCTCCAGCTGCTTTAGTTCCTCCAGGCTAGACTTCATGGGAGAAAGCCAGCAGCGTCCGGGTCCAGCCTGGCAGCGGGATAAATGGGAGACTCAAGAGTTTGCAGAGAACCACGTTGGAGCGCGCGGCTTTCGGCTCCTGGCCCTACAGGTTACCGCTGGCTGTGTCACCTCCACCAAAGGACGTCCCTGCTGTCCGGCGCTAGCTCCCCCCAGCTGCAGATGAGGGACGACATAGCTTCGGCCTTGTGCAGAATTGAACAAAGCTCCTAAAGTAGTTAGAACCCAGCCGGCTCGAGCGAGCGCTGCTCACCTGTGGCTGTCGAGTCCCGCGCACCGGCCCCGGCTCCGCACCGCGCTGCTGGGACTTGACTTCCCGCTCGCGCCGGCGGCCGACCCGGTCCTGGGCCTCCCGCAGGTCTTGGCGCCCCAAGGTCTTGGCGGGAAGCTGCGCGGGCCTCCGGGGGGCCCCCACCGCGCAGGTGGTGGAGGCCGCGGCAGGGCGGCGCCTGGTGTCCGAGGCGGGCCTCGGGCCGCGGCACCTGGGCGCGCCTGGGGCGAGGCGGCCGGGGCCTCCAGAGCGCGCGGAGAGCGGAGCGCGCGGCCCGGGAGGCAGCCGTGGGGCGGTGCCGCGTCCTTGGCCGCAGCTTGGCGGTCCCTCCCCGGGTCGCCCGTCGCGGACGCGGCGTCGGCTCCGGGCTCCCAGCGCCGGGTCCCGGGCGCAGAGCGCAGGATGCAGTGTCTGAGCGCCGAGAACCCGGTAACGCCGCCCCTCGCCTCGGGGGACCGAACCTTAGAGGGTGGGACCCTGCGGGGAGTGTCCCAAGGGGAAGGCCCCGGCTCTCTCCACGCACCTGCCCGGTCCGGGCGCTCCCGGCTACCCCAAACCTCGGGCATAAAACCCAGGCCTGGCGCCGCTGTGCTCTGGAGACACCTGACTGAAGGGGAGGGACCTCGGCCCCCCTCTGGGGCTGAGGAGGAGGCCAGAGAGGCAGGTGGCCCAGCATGAACTTGGGGCCATCTCCCGTGCACTTCCAGGTAAGGGCTGCAAAGCCTTGGGGACTGCAGAGGCTCACAGAGCAAGTGTTTCGAAGGCCCCACGAAAGCTTCCAGCGGTCACCTTAAAAAAAAAAAAAAAAAAAAAAAAGGTTACTTTGAGCTGTCTTTAAGTCTAAGTTCAATGGCCAGGAGGGGACCCATATGGTTATTTATTCCCTTTCTCTCATTTTCCCCCTTCTTCTTCTTCTGGAAGGTTTCTGCAGAGAGAACATGCAAGCAAAGAGAGTGGAGGCCTCAGATTTATAGGAAATGCACGGACACAACATGGTTATTCCTGTTCTTTCTCTTTTGTACTGGTTTGGTAAGTGGAGTGATTGACAGGGACTTGACAAGGTGTGTTTGTGTCCAAAATAACTGTGTCCTAAGTGTAAACAGCATTCCGAGTGCCTGGCCTGAGGAAGACAAGGTCTCCAGATGGTACCAGGTAAAAGTTTGTGAGGCAGTGAGAGAGGAGAGACATCTGCCATTATGGGAATTCTGTCACTGGTCTCCTGACATCCTGCCAGGCTAAACCTCTAGGTGGTCTAAACTGGAGAGGTTCTCTTATTGCCTCAGACCACATTCTAACAGAAGACTCCATTAGGAAATGAGATTCACATTTGCAATGGATGTTAATCATAGGCCAGTGTGTCTTGTATTATTTCATCTCACTGCCTGGAAGTTCATTTTATCATTTTAGTCCCCAAAATATTCCTCAAAAGTTTACTTTTCCCCTAATAGGGGAAAATCCAGGGTGATCCAAAAATAAATTACTCCTAGCTGAGCAGAATGTACACACTCTTAGTATGTGGCACTTTAGCTGCTAACATGTAAACAAACCCTCTAGGGAGAGAAGGCTTTGTTCCCAGTCTAGTTTCCAGATATGGACAAGGGTGAGTGGGCCTCATCAAACTATGTCATTTTGTCCTTGGAGAGTCTCTCGGAAGCTGAATCTTTTATACTTATTTTAGTATTATAGATAACAGCAGAAAAAGCCTCCCTCAATTTCTTCAAAGACCAGGCCATGAAGTTATCCATTCCAGACTAAGGCATACTACTTACAGCATGGTGACTGATTAATTTATAAAATCCAATAATAGCTACCAGGTCGTAATTACCTTTGTTGGAAAAAATTAAATTTGAATAGGCTCTAAGATATCAGGTTTGTTCCTCTTTTCAAGTAAGAAGGTCTTTTGTATTCAACTTTATCACCTAGACTGATGTGGCTGCAAGGGAAGTTAGAAAGGTGTAATCCAAGGTTCTGTGTTGGCTATCCACAGCCCTAGGAGCTATCCTGTGGCAGCTGAGAGAAACTGTACCTGCAGCTCTACCTCTTTAATGTCTTCACAGATGGCTGCTGCTTTATCTGGGTCTGCTTTTGTATAAATTAAGGGAGCAGCTGTCCTGCCTATGCCTACAGCTTTGACCTTGGGTTGTTAATGTTATTTAATGATTTTTCCCAGCCCCTCCACAATTCAAACCTAGCACACCACTACATTCAGCCCAACAGCAATCTGACCCATCATGGCCTGAAGAATTATAAACCATTTGAGAGGAGGCAGAGCTGGAAACTGCTTTAAAATTCCATTTCATTTACAAAATAAATCTGAAGGCTCTAATATATCTGAATTCTCTCTATTATGTTAAATTTGAATAATGAGAGTCCTTCCTTAGATGACGAGCTTTTGCTATTTTCTGCAACATTTTAAGACCACAGATACTTAAAACAGAGCAAGGAGGCTTTTTCTGCCCCTGCTCTTCAGCTTCCTTGTCTTGTGTTGTCCTTCCCAGTGATAAGGGACATGCTGGACAGATTATAGATGGTCCTGTTCCTGTGTTAGAGCTGAACAAAAGAAGTTTAGGATTAGGGGTCAGAATTACAAGTAGGGATGGTCTGTTGCAAAGAGAAAGAGTGCCAGACTTTGTTTATATTTGCATGAGAGGCAGACACAAAGTCTGGACCATCTCTGCCTCTGCTTACTTGCCTAGTGACCTGTCCTACCTTGCCCATTCCCACTTATCTTCTAACACTGTTATCCAGATCTCCCACAGTGATCTTCTCCTTAATAGCTCCACCATACCTGGTATACACACCTACTATATCACCTACCATATGAAATTACAATAGTATGTTTCAAACTAGAGCAAGGTTTTGGTGATTTAAAATTGTAATGGAATGGCAGGGAAAAAGTAAACTTGCCCTGATGACTTGGATAAACCAGGAACCTCAAGAGGAAAAAAATAAGTTGTCTTTGTAAAGTTAGGCCAAGAAGGAAAAGTGACAGGAGAAAAAAAGTATGAGAAGCACAGAGGTGAGAAAATAGAGAACAATCAATTTCTGTGGTTTAGAATATTCTCCCTACCTAACCTGTTAAATCGAACATGGGAGGAGGAGCATCCTTAGTCAAGCTATCCACATGGTTGCTGAGAACAGAGATGCAGGGATGCCAAGAAGATTCATGGTTTACCTGGTTGCTTTTTCTATCAACATCCTTGGGAATTGGGGAACTGTGTTTTCAGCCCTTTGACCATGCTCTCACCTGCCTCCTGGGTTCTCCAGATGTTCCTCATGGGCTACTCGGTGGTGACTGGAGCCACCGGAAGACTCCTCTTTGGCTACGACAGCTTTGGCAACGTGTGTGGCAAGAAGAACAACCCAGTAGACGGGGCTCCTCTTTCAGGCCAGGACATGACCCTAAAAAAGTAAGTGTCCAAATAAGCCCCCAACTTCTAGAGGGGCTGTACTTCAAAACTTTGTCAGATTAGTCATTTAGAGCCTGGAAACTTCTCCCATTCAAAACTGTGCCACCCCATTTCATTATAAAGAAGGAGGGTGTGTGTGTGTGTGTGTGTGTGTGTGTAAGGACACAGTTTTTTTAATATTTTATTATTTTTTTTATATTTTTACATCATTGTTCATTTTTAAACAATATTTGCTTTCCCCACCCCCTCAGGTGTAGTCCCCATAGAGTTTCCTTTCCCAAAGCACCCATGCGCCAACACCTCAGCCCCCTGTGCTCCTCCCTCCCTCCCTCTGATCCTTCTTCTGCCTCCTCTCCTGTAGTATGTCTCTGATTTATAATTGTCTGTTTTTGCTTTGTTGCGTTTTGTACTGTTATTATTTTTTATACTAATGTCTTATTTGGTTCCCCTATATTCCTCTATAAGTGAAACCATGCACTATTTTTCTTTTTCCTTCTGGCTTATTTCACTGAGCATAATTCCTTCTAGCTCCATCCATGTTGCTGCGAATGGCATGAGTTTATCTTTTTTGATTGCTGAATAATATTCCATTGTGTATATATACCACATCTTCTTGATCCAGTCATCTATTTTGGGCATTTGGGTTGTTTCCAGGTTTTACCTATTGTAAATAGTGCTGCAATAAACATAGGGGCACAGGTGATCTTTTGAATCAATGTTTTTGTGTCCTTTGGGTAGATCCCTGTGGTAGTGGAATTGCTGGGTCATAGGGTAGCTCCATTTTTAGTAGGCTGAGGAAACTCCAGACAGCTTTCCATAGTGGTTGGACCAGTTTGCACTCCCACCAGCATGTAGGAGAGTTCCTTTGTAACTGCATCCTCACCAATATTTGTTGTTGCTTGTTTTTTTGATATGTGCCATTCTTACTGGTGTAAGGTGGTATCTTAATGTGGTTTTGATTTGCATTTCCCCGATTATAAGGGATGTTGAACATTTTTTCATATGCCTGTTGGCCATTTGCATTTCCTCTTTGGAGAAATGTCTTTTAAGTTCTTCCGCCCATTTCTGGACTGGATTGTTTATTTTGTTTTTGTTGAGTCATGTGATTTCTTTGTATATCTTTGTGATCAGTTCCTTCAGTTGAATGGAGTACAGAGATTTTTTTTCACAATCAGTGGGGTGTCTCTCTGTTTTGGTTTATGTCTCATTAGCTGTACAGAAAATTTTCAGTTGGATGTAATCCCAGGTGTTAATCTTTTCCTTGACTGTCTTTGCTTTGCATGATGAGTCTAGTCTGCCTGTTCTGCTCTCTGCGCTGTCTCTGGTGAATTCTCTTATCCTCCCGTTCTTTCGACTGTACCCAGTGCTTGTATAAATAAATAAATAAATAAATAAATAAATAAATCTTTAAAAAAGAAATAATGATGTTATTGCGATGTATCTTGTAGTGTTTACCTATATTTTCTCCTATATATTTTATGGTTTTAGGTCTTATGTCCAGTTCTCTTATCCACTTTGAGTTGTTTTTTGTGCACAGTGAGAGATAGTGATCTAGTTTCATTTTTTTACATGTGGTGATTAAGTTTTCCCAGCACCATTTATTGAACAAACTGTCTGTGTTCCATTGCATGCATGTTCTTTGCTCCTTTGTCAAAGATCAGATGTCCATATAAGTGTGGCTTTATTTCTGGGCTGGGGTCTCTATTCAGTTCCATTGGTCTGTTTCTGTTTTTGTTCCAATACCAAACTGTTTTAATTATTATGGCTTTGTAGTATAGCTTGAAGTTTGAAAGTGTGATACCTCCTTTCTCCTTTGTTTTCATCAGTAGGCCTTTGGCTATTCATAGTTTTTTTTGTGGTTCCTTATGAGTTTGATCAGTATTTGTTCTCTTTCTTTGAAGAATGTCATTGACATTTTTATTGGAATAGCATTGAATCTGTATATTGCTTTTGGTAGGATGTGCATTTTAATGTTAATTCCTCCAGTCCATGAGCAGGGGATGTCTTTCCATTTCTTTGTGTCTTCTTCTATTTCTTTTAACAGTGTTTTATAAGTTTCTTTGTATAGGTCTTTCACCTCTTTTGTTAGGTTTATTCCCAAGTATTTGATTTTTTTTTTGGTTTCAATTATAAAAGGGATGGTTTTCTTGATTTATTCTTCTTTAGATTTATTGTTTGTGTATAGGAAGGCTACTGATTTTTGAGTGTTGATTTTGTATCCTGCTACTTTACTGACCTGGTTGATTATTTTGAGTAGTTTTTCTGTGGAGTTTTTAGGGTTCTCTATGTATATTATCATATCATCTGCAAATAGTGATAGTTTTATTTCTTCTTTCCCTATTTGCATTCCTTTTATGTCTTTCTCTTGTGTTACTGCCCTGGCTAGGACCACCAGTATTACATTGAAGAGCAGTGGTGATAGAGGACATCCTTGTCTTGTTCCTGATCGTAAAGGAAAGGCTTTCAGCTTTTCGCCATTGAAAATAATATTGGCAGTGTGTTTGTCATATATGGCTTTTATCACGTTTAGACATGTTCCTTCTATCCCGAGAATTTCAAGGGCCTTCATCATAAATGGATGTTGGTCTTTGTCAAATACTTTCTCAGCATCTATTGATATGATCATGATCATATAGTTTTTATTTTTCTTTTTGTTGATGTGTTGGATTACACTGATCGATTTTTGTATGTTGAACCATTCTTGTGCCCCTGGGATGAATCCCACTTGATCGTGGTGTAATATCCCTTTGATGCATCGTTGACTTCTGTTGGCAAGGATTTTGTTGAGGATTTTCTTTTTTTGGTTCTTTTTTTTTTTTTTTTTTCAGTTTTTGAAAGAGTTTGTATAGGATAGGCACTAATACACTGCTGAATGTTTGGTAGAATTCATTTGTGAAGCCATCTGGACCTGGACTTTTGTTTTTGGGGAGTGCTTTGATTACTGCCTCAATTTTGCTCCTTATAATTGGTCTGTTTAGGTGTTCTATTTCTTCTTTGTCCAGCTTTGGATGATTATATTGTTCTAGGAATATGCCCATCTCTTCTAGGTTGTTGAATTTGTTTGCATAAAGTGTTCATAGTAATCTCTGATTATTTTAATTTCTACTGAATCTGTTGTGATTTTCCTCTTTCATTTATAATCCTATTTATATGTGTTTTCTCCCATTTTTTTCTTTGTGAGCCTGGCTAGAGGTTTGTCTATTTTGTTTATTTTCTCAAAGAACCAACTTTTGGTTTCATTGATCTTTTGGACTTTTTTTGTTAATTCTATTTTGTTTGCTTCTGCTTTGATTTTTATTATTTCCTTTCTTCTACTGGCTTTAGGGTTATTTGTTGTCCTTTTTCTAGTTCTTTGAGATGTGAGATTAGGTTGTTTCTTTGAGTTCTTTCTTTTTTATTGATGTGAGCCTGTATTGCTATATATTTTCCTCTTATTACTGCTTTTGCTGCATCCCATACATTCTGGAAAGTGGTGCCCTCCTTGTCATTCAACTCAAAGTATTTTTTAATTTCTTCTTTGATCTCTCATTAGTCCCATGGTCTTCTAGTAGTGTGGATTTCAATCTCCATGTGTGGGAGAGTTCCTTGTTTTCTTTTCATGATTTATTTCTATTTTGATGCCTTTATGATCGGAGAAGATAGTTGGAATAATTTTGATCTTCATGTATCTGTTGATGTTTGTCTTGTGACCCAGTATGTGATCAATTCTGGAGAATGATCAATTCTGGAGAATGATCAATTCTGGAGAATGTGTGCTTGAGAAAATGTGTACTCAGATTTTTTGGGGTGCAGTGAAGGACACAGATTTTAGAATCAATCCACTTTAAGTTCAAATTCAGCCTCTGCTACCTTCAAGCTGTGTGACCTTAGGCAGAGTAAGGAACCTCTCACAGCCTAGTTTTCATCTTTTAAAACTTATTTTTATGCCCACCGCACAAGGTTGTTTTAAGGATTCATTGAGATTCTGTATGAGCTAAGTGAAGGCTTTATAAATGTTAGTTGTTGCCATTATTGTTTATAATGCATTAGAATCAGGATTTCAACTTTTTGTTACTATTTACATACCAACTACAGTATTGTCTCTATGTGTAAATACCTGGATCTCAGCTGGGAATGCTTGGTCTCATTTCCTCCCCTACCCCTGTCCATACTCTCAGTTATGGCATTGTGGCGGCACATCAACCACTTCTAGCTCTTACACAGCAAAGGAGAGAAGAGACAGGAACCCCCTGAAGGTGAGAAATCCTGAATCATGATTCTCTAAGGAGGCTACCATATAATAATTTGAAACTTGATCAAAAGCGGCCACTAAGAGCAAAATCTTAATTGTCAAATTGGTCCTGAGTATAAGTTTGGAGTCACCAAATATGAATCTGTAGGCATGGAGTGAGTACCTGGATGGGGGTAACATTTCTGCCTGTATTTGTGGGTGTCGTTCACAAAGAAGTCTTGTGGGCATGGAGTGAGTACCTAGGTGGGGGTAGCATTTCTGCCTGTACTTGTGGGTGTCACTCACAAAGAAGATGCCTCCAGCATTCCTCTGACCCCAGCAACCCAGATGATATTGGCCATGTGTCTGGGAGCTACCACTGCTAGCCAAACCCATAACCCGTAATGGCAACTACCAGTTCTATTTTTGTGTCCCACCTACCCACTGGGTAGCTGCAGCGGGAAGTACCCTATCAGTTTCCTGGCTCTCAATCAGAATCAGGGAGAGGGACAAACCTTTAGTCACACACTGGACCCCTCCCTTCCACTTCTCACTTCCCTGGGATCAGCAATGCTCTTAAGTGTGTTTGAGTGCCCTCGGTTGCAAATATGCTTTCTGTGGATTTCATTGAGTAGTTTATGTGCTGGTCAGTTCTAACAATCCAGAAACAATTTAATCAATACCTTTTCAGTGTTATCCCCCAGAGATTACTGAATCTAGAAAAACAAAGTTCTGTTAACATTCAAGCATAGTTCACAAGCTGCACAATTCCATAGACTACCCCCAGCAGACATAATTCATGTTAACTTATAATGAAGCATTTGACTATAAAAGCCTGCCTTAGTTATTCCCACATTTGATGGCATGTGGATATTTTTAATGCCCACAATGACACCCAAAGAGAGAAAATGCTTTACACATCCTTGTCTTTCCTGTCTCTTAGACATGTATTCTTTATGAATTCCTGCAACCTGGACATCAAAGACATGAGGCTCAGTTCCACTGTCCTTTGTGTATCCAGGTGTCCTGAGGAGCAGCTCAACACACTGGAAGAGGTCCAGCTCTTTGCCAACAGCAGTGGTAGGCACAGAGGGGCAGGGCTCTATCTCTCTTCTGAGAATTGTTACCACAGTGGGGGAACTGGGGAGACCAGGCTGAACTAACTTACCAACACAGCTTTTTCTGGGAAAGTGGAAATTGTCTTTTGTGGGGAAGGCAAAAAAAAGTTTTCTTTTGAGCTTATTCAGTTTCATTCAGGTAAATCTGGATTTATCTGCAACCTTAGCTGTTTTCTGCTCCCTGCTGGGGAGTGAGCTTCCATAGACACATAGAGTAATGCTGACATTTGACCTGATGGTTAGAGAGTCTGGGCACATGGGCACATCTAGTCCTAAGGGTACCCCAGGCAAGGGATACCCTCATTTCATTAAAATGTTGGGCCCATGCATATTTTCACTGAGTGGTGGAAGAATCATTAATTTATACCAAAACCAGTTGTGTAATTGGAGTATCTTGTTCTGAGCCTATATTTAAGGTTTATGTTATGAGTATTAAACCACCAAAGGAATTCAAGGCACCTACTGTAAATGTTATCTGCCTATGAGATGGTATACCAGATTTTTAAAAAATTATTGACAGGGTTGGGTTAAAAATATCAAGCCTATACTATACATCATCTTCAAATGACCTCCAAGCCATTGTAGTATCACTCATAACTTAATTTTGAATTTAAGGTTTGGGAGAGAGTAAGAAAGAAAGGACCTAACATGACCTCGGATTATATGCTTGTTTTTTTTTGTGTTCAGATCACTTCTAAATTGAAGTGATTTATTCTGTCCTTGGTAAAGTGACTAGTGTTTCCTTACTGGTTCCCCTAGAAAAATGAGTACCAGATAGGAAGATAGATGTCTGTGTCTTCTTCCAGGGTCTCACCTGTGTGTTTATAGTTTGAATTCCTTCAACTACACCCAGAATCCAAAAGCACACTCATTGTGCCCGAAACTACCAGTTCCTCCAAGGTAAAAATTTCCATTCTTTTCCCTTATCCATCAGCAAGTTATTGGTGCTTGGTACATGCCTGTTACTCTTCTGGGTATTATAGGAAGCACAAAGGAAGTATCAGGAAAAGCCTTTATTTGTAGGGAGTTTACAGGAATCCAGGAATAAACAAGGAGGGACAATTTGCATATACATAAAGAAAATGGATTAGTAACCAGGCTAAATAAAGAAAAACTCAGCAAGTAATGAAAAGGTCTTCAAATGACAACATTGGGGTTAGCAAAAAGTAGCTTGTGGTTTTATAAAATAGCTTGTATGTATTTTTTTCTCAACTTTTTATTATAGATGAGAAATTACTTAATTTAGCTTTTTTCTTGAAGCCAGACATTGTCAGTTACTAGAGCTCTAGACTGCTGCTCCATGAGAATCAGACCTAAGAGGGGAAGGCCAAGTAACCACCACACCTTCCTTCTTTTTTTTAAGATTTATGTATTTATGCACACAAGAACTGGGGTACAGGGCAGAGAGGTGGGGGCAGGGTGAGAGTATTCACCAGAGACAGAATGGGGAACAGAACAGTACACTGACTGAAATACACTGTTGAGGGGAGCAACAGGCAAGACAGGAGAGGTCTGCTGCACCATGTGGGTCAGCTCCCTGGCCAGGGATTGAATCAGTGCTGCAGTGGCTGCAGGTAGCGTCTTAACCGCTTGCGCTACCAAGGAGGCCTCCATACCTTCCTTCTTAATGAGAACAGAAAACATGTCCTCCCAAAGCAAGTGAACTTCTTTCAGGGTCTTGCTCATCCCTGTCAACTAGGTTAGTACCTGGTACCTAGAGGCATCTTATAAGTATTTGCAGAATAAAGCTGAAATGAGGACACTGTGGTTGCATTACCATGGTGAATGGCTCACATTTGAGTCACTGAGAAGGCTAAGGGGAGAGACATATTTAACAATCATGCCACCATCAAGATGCTAAGATGTACTAATTGGATTATTTATTTTGCATTAACATTCTTTTGAAAATCATACCTCTGTTTACCGTCAGTGAGACCCCTTGCAAAATCTCAGAGAATTAATGATAATTTAAGGAGAATAAGCCATGCTGCCAACTGTCTATGACTGTGTTTATCAAACTCTTGGTTGGGACTCACAGTAAGAAATGTATTCCATCACAGCCCGAGTGTGCACAGACCTTCGTTCAGAAGGTACAGGAAACAGAAATAAAAGTCTCACAAAACAGGATTTCCCCTTAATGAGTATGATTCACACTAATAGTTCCTATTCTGTTTTCACTTTTTTAAAAAACTAATTGATCTTAATGATCTAGTAGGTTGCAAGTACCGCTTCAAAAAATGCTGAAATAGCAGGTGCATAAAAAAGAGTAGATTTTAACTGAATAGGAGGATATAGTTGGCCAGCCTTGTGGCATTCCTTTCTCAAATAAACATTTCATGTTATAAGTAATTAAAAAGGGAAGAGGATTATTTACAGAAAGGAGTGTCCATTTCATTTTTCTGTTATATCTTATTTTTTTAATTCTGGCTTTTTTCAGCCATCATAAACATGTCTCAGTGAGACATAACTGAAGCTGTGGAGGTAGAAGGGATCTACAGTATTTTAGTAGGTTGAAAGAAAATTATTTAACACTTGCAGAGAAGGACTTTTTTTAAACTATATACCCTTGACCAACATCTCCCCACACACCACCGCCACCATCAGTTATCTCCTATGAGACTATTTTAGATTTCACATACAAATGAGACCATGCAATATTTGCCTTTTGAGAAGTATTTTTTAAGGGTATTTGTAACTGTAACTTCAAAAGGAATTAAGGAGACTGGAAATTTTAATGTTTTAAGCTAACCAGGGTTTGATAAATCTTCCCCTTCCTTTAACTGCGATGGCAACTGTAATTTCATGGGAAATTTGCATGTTGCTGTTGCTTATGATAATAATGAACATTTATAGAGCCTTTGACACTTGCCAGGTACATTCCTAAGCTCCTGAAATATATTAACTTACTGCAACTTCACATAATCTCCACGCTGTTGGCATCATTCTCATCCACTTTTTACAGGTGGAAAAATGGATGTGATTGTATAACAGCTTACGATTGTATAACCAGAAAGAGGAGGAGCTGCCATTCAAACCTAAACAGCATCCTTGGGTGTTTCTATAATCCAGAACAACAGTCTGGCTCCATTGGTTTTATGTTGCCTAGTGAAAGGACCCTTTAGGCTCACACCTAACTGGGGCGGGGGGCAAGTCCTGTACCAACTGTCACCATCTTTTCTATCTCCCAAGCCAGTCCTCATCCTTTGCCTCTTTACATTCAGACCTTTCCAACACTAACTTTTCAAGTAAAGACAAAACCACTGATTGACTGGTCTTTCTTGGACAGAGTTAGGAAGACAGAAGCAGGCTTGAGGGCTTCATTTCCTTTTCCTACACAAGCAAGTGCTTGTTTTAAGATGGAAATGATCATATTTATCGTGGAAGAGCAGTGCCAAGAGTAAAAAGCTTGAAAACATGAGAAGTGTGGCTATAAGGCCAAAGAATATTTCTAAATGCCTCTTTCTGACTAAATCAATTGTTTCTTCTTCCTCTGTTGGTCATATGAGGTATTACCTACCCTCTTAGAGCAATGACCAAATAGCAATTAGGTTTGTGTACCTAGGAATAAGCTTTCAAGAGAAGTGAAAAAATACTGAAGATAAGAAGCAAGCATATCTTTCCCCCTTTATTCTTACAATAATACTGTTTTTAGTCTCCTCTGTACTTAAAATGTAAAAGACCTGTGTTTTCCCCTCCCATAAATTCTAGTTTTCCACATAGGTGTATTGCATGCTCTGAGTTGTTTGCATCTATGTATTCTAACAAATTCTATTCTGACAGCATCATCTAAATATATAGTACACTCTCCAAAGTGCTTTCTGCAAATTTGAGGGGCTCTGCTGGTAGGTAGAGCAAAAGCAAAAGTGGGGGAAAAAACACAGTCTGTGGCCAAAAATGATGCATCCCAGCTAATGAAGTACTCAGGGGGCAGCTGGTCAGCCATCATTGGGGGCAACCCTCACTATATATGCCTCTCTCTGTCACCCTCAGGGCTAAGGTGGGTCTTTAGTCCTTACCAGCAGAGGATTTTCAATGTGTAAAAGCACCATAGTTAATAAAATTGACAACATTTTGACATATTAACAAAATTAAGGTCTTCAGACATTTTGCACAAAAGCAAACAAAATGTCATTGAATCTATATCTTATCTTATTTTTCAGAAATGTTAAATGGAAGTTTAAACATTTGCTTTCAAAACAACTCTGATTCATTGATGTTCTGAATCTGCTTAGTAACAGAAAAACAAAAACAGAGTTTTAAAAATTGGAAGGGCCTCCCTGGTGGCACAAGGGGTTGGGCACCACACTATGTGGGCTGTCCGTGGCCTCTGCAGCACAAGTTCAATCCCCAGCCGACCAGGGAGCTGCCCATATGGTGCAGCAGACCTCTCCTGCCTCTCCCGCTGCTCCCCTGAGCAGTGTGTTTCAGTCAGTCTGCCTGTTCTGTTCCCCGCTCTGGCCCTGGTGAATTCTCTCCCCCAGCGCCCCCGAACCTCTGGCCTGTGCCCCGGTTCTTGTATAAATAGATAAATAATTCTTAAAAAAAATAAAATAAAAATTGGAAAGCAAAAAAATGAACAGAAAAAATACAAATGATAAGAGAACTTATTTAAGTGGCAGAGGACAAGATTAATATACCAAAATCTGTAGCATTAATATATTTTTAAAAGATTCTTTTACCACAACAAAAAAAAACGCATATAAAACTATGCAAGTACCTAGCAATAAATTTAACAAGGTGCACATTCCAGAGAAGAAAAGTTTCAAAAAATGGTCAGCTTTCTCCTCTACGCAAGTTATCAGCCACAGCTTCATTCAGACATTTATCACTCCTTTATTAAGCTCTCACTGTATTCAAAACAAGACTTTCAAGCACCATCAGAAGTGCTGCTCTCCTGTTTTATATTCCTGGCTTAGGTCTCTGTGGGTCCCCACAACCAGTTTCCTACCCAGCGCATCAGCCCATGCTGCAGCAACACAGTTGGCCATGTGTACTTTGCAAACAACACACTAAACCGCCTTTTATTATTGCAGATCTTATGCTTACTTGGTTGCAGAGAATTTTAAACATTTTTTAAAGATAAGTAAATAAATGTCTTCACCATTTATTCTTTTATTTTTAGCAAGTCTTTCCCCTTGTTTAACCGCTGCATCCCTCAAACACCAGAGTGCTATTCTGTGTTTGCATCTGTCTTGATAAATGATGTGGACACCCTCCATCAGATTCTAAGTGGAATCATGTCAGCAAGAGACACAATCCTCGGCCTCTGTATCTTCGCATTAGGTAATTTTCAGTATATTTTCTTTCAGTGACATACTTCTTTCAGTGAGTATGTGAAAATTTCTAGTGCCTGTGTCTGTTGTACAATGAAAATTAACATTTTGACTAAAATATAAAACTTCACTTTGTATATTTATTTTCTCTTTAGATAATTTCAATGTTTCAAGTTCAAGTAGGGGAGGGGGCAACAAGACTGTGGAAACCCCAGCCTGGTTGGCTCTCCCCAATAGGCCTCACCAGCTTGGGGGTTCCCTTATTATAGTGACCAAGTCGCAGGGTCTGAGCTCAAAATATAAAGGATGGATGTGTAAGGCAGGCTTCCAGTTTGTGAACTGGCCTCAAGAGCACAGTTGTCAGGGCACAAGAAACTCATGCCTGCTGGCCAGTGGGCCTGTCATCAGGCCAGATCAGAAGGCTGCTTGGTGAACTAAGGATGGAGGTGTGTGTGTCCATGATAAATAACATCAGACAGCAATGGCCTCATGTGTCTGAATGCTCCAAGGAAACAGGAAATGCCTGCTCTGGGCTGTCACAGGTTAAGGCCTTGAGCCAAGACGTGCCTCTTTCCAGGCATTTCTGCAAGCAGCATTCAACTCCTGGCCTTTGACTTCCCCTTTGCCGTGTTTCAGCTTGAGTTTTATTAAGAGTTGACTTTTTCTGTGCGCAAGTTTGCTGCTTTAGGCAGTAGTGGTGACCTTTATCTACTCTTCCCCTGGGGCTGCCTCCCAACTTATTGGTGGAGAGAGGACTCTGGTTAGCTAGTAACATAATTTTGCCAGTTTACAAATTGTGCTTTCCATAATTTCATTAATTATACTAACTCCTGAACACACAGGGAGGCTTAAATGATCATCTTTATATAATATGAAGACATTTTATGACCGAAAGGTGCTAGGCATTGTGCTTATTCTTAACTCATTAAGAGCCTCACCAGAATCCTATAACCATATGCTGCAGTCAGGAGACTGAGACTTAGAGAGACTTGACCAAGGTGACACATTTAGGAGAATAGGTGGCAGAACTGAGACTCACACCAGACCTGTCAGATTCCCAGACCCATGTCCTTAACCTCTGTGCCAGAATATCTGTACATAACCATGGTTTCTTGTTGAGGAAAAAACAAACTAGTATGTATAGAGTCACGGAAATACTCAGAAAAAATCTATAACATTAAAAAACTAAATGGTGGAAAATCACGTAGGATTTTTACATGTATAACATATTATATCATTGGAATCTTAAAATTTTCATTTTTAAAAGGCATTAGTTTGTCATATTTAATAAGACTATCTGAAAACATTCAAAGTTGGAACTTTACACAAGCCTAGTGTGAAATCAAAAAAATTAAGTGTGATAAAAAATATTTTAATAGTTTATTTGGACTTAAAAGAAAAAAAAATAAAGATTTATATATTTGAGAATAAGACATGCTTTAAATTTGTTTTTTTTTTAATTTCAGAAGAGTGCTCCACTTTCAGACACTGGTTTACTGTAGCGAACTTGTGGAGGCTTCAGGGGTGTCCTGAAGTGTCATATTTTTGTTTGGTATTTGGTAGCTGTCCCAGGATATTTAGAAATTGAAGAAAATCCCCAGCCCCCATTCCTGAGAGGGTTTGGTCACTGTAGCCCTACCCTTGTCACCCTCCAATGACTGCTGCTGGGTTTACATGTTCTGCTTAATTTTTCAGCCCTGTCTTTGGCCATGATGTTCACCTTTCGATTCATCACCACTCTTCTGGTTCACATTTTCATTGCACTGGTTATTTTGGGATTGTTGTGTAAGTATTTCTCCTTGATTGACTTGCTTTTGATTACATGGAAAGACTTTCCATTAAGTAGAGAACTCCAAAGTTGGCATTGTTGAGTTAAATGGAGTCTTAGAGAGTCTCAAATCCAGCCTCTTCATCTTTCCTTGGCAAAGACCTAGACCCAGAGATGACAGAGAGACTTGCTGAGGTCTCAGAGATGGCAGCACAGCCATCTGCACTATGACACCTCTGGCGTGCACCTGCCCAAGTGCTCCTGGTAAACATACCATTAAAAACAAATTCCAGTGCCTGTTGGAAGCATCTTAAAGGATTCCTTCTGACATTTCATGCCATCCACTGGCATTTGGATGCCCACAATTGTCCTGCAAAGAGACAGGACATCAGTCAGAAGAAACTCAGGCCCTGAGCAGGGATTGGGTCCTGGAGACCCTCTCATGTGCCCACAGCTTCCCTTCGCTAGCTGAATTGTGCATCCATCCAGGAGTTGTCAGGAAAGGGGGTTCAGGAGCATGGGCATGCAAGAGCCCCAAGGCACTGGCTCTTTACCAACTGATACACAGGCTATTTTAATTTTTAGTAATTAGTATGATCTTAGTATTTCATTCCCCTAGCTTTCAATTTCCCCTTAGCTTTTTAAGCCCCAGCTTCAGCAATTTAAAGGTTGCAGCTCCCAGTTGCCCAGTATGTCTGTGCTGTAGGATATGCCCAGCTGCCATCATGGCTTGTCATGATGACTGTGACCTTCCTGTAGTCACTGTGGATGTGGCCTTGGTAGCCTTTACCACTAAATGCAGAGCTTTACAAGTAAGGTTAACCACCCAGGTTTGCAGATGCCAGGCCAGTATCCAGGTTCCCATGGCTTATTGGATATCTTAGACTTTGGACTCTAATGTTCTTCTCACCACCTATTGGTCCAGACACCTCTCTATTCATACTGACCCAACCTGTGGGCCAGGCTGAAGGGACACACCTGTGTTCTGGGGTCATCTCCCTACTTCTCCCGAAAGCAAGGAGCCACCTCAGTCTGGCAGGTCCTCAAGGGCTCTGCCCAGGTCCTTGGGAGGGCTGGTCACTGCCTGGAAAACCTCAGGGATTTGGGATCCTTTGCTGAGCAGGGCCACCTTCTACACGGTTCTGAACACCAGGGTGGTGTCCTCTGGTATGCCTGCTGAGCTTGTGGCGCGTGTCTTCCAGTTGTCTGCGGTGTGCTCTGGTGGCTGTATTACGACTACACCAATGACCTCAGCATAGAGCTGGACACAGAAAGGGAAAATATGAAGTGTCTGCTGGGCTTTGCACTTGTGTCTACAGTTATCATGGTAAGAACTGCCCTTCCAGCAGTAAGTCGGGTAGCCAGCCAGAACTCTGAAATCTAAATGGTTACATTGAACCCCTAGAAACTAGAGTTTATTTTTCTTTCTCCCTGGAATGGGCATCCATCTCAGTGTAGTGAATGTATGTGCATACTTAGTGCTTTTTTTTTTTACTTGCAATACCTATCTAGGAGTGCTCAAAGATAAGAAAAAGATCTTACTTCTTTCAAAGTCATTATTGCCATGCTCTGAGGTTGATTAGTTTTCAGCCTCTGCTCTGTGGGTGTGAGGTGGAGACTGTAAGGTGAGTCTGGGGACCTGTGACAGCTCCTGTTTCCTGCTGGGCCGAGGGGCCCTCCTAGCCAATGGATGCTAGGCTCTCAAGGGTGTGACAGCTCCTGCTGCCTTCAGCACAGAGAGTCCTTTGTTTCCAAACCTGCCGGCTATTTTGGTCTTCAGAGAACCTGCCGCCCCTCGGTGAACTCCTGGTGGAAAACAGGCAAACAGACCTTTGAAACACAAGATACTTTTGTTGGAGGCGAGTGATTGGCAACTGAAAATCATGCCAGTCTCCCCCAGGTGCTGTTAGAAGTGCTGGAACCACCATGCCCCCGGGGTCTGGATTTGATTTTGGGTGACCCTCAGTCATTCTTGCTGGTGTGTTGCTTGCTAACCATTTTATGGAGGAGCAACAGATGGGGGTTTCCAAAAGCCCATTAAATTCTTTCAGCAAACACAGACTCTTAACAACTTAGCTCCCTCTCCTAAGGAAATTCTTCAATTCCCAGATTTGGTACATTTTCTACATTTCTCCGTTATGTTGAAGTTACAGGCTGGTATTCTTCACATAAAATGCATCTCAGGGAGCAAGTGGACAGTGAAGGGGAGTTCTTGGTTAGTCCTGCCTCAGCAAGGACCAGACCTCTAGCTGAGGCCAGCTCTGTGAAGGAGCCAGGGAAGAAAGGGCCCCTCCTGCACCCCAGGTGGAGGTCTAGGGCTGTCAGGATTGGGAGGGGGAGCAGGACTGGCAGCCAGGAGAGAGCCTGTTTCCCTCAGAGCCCTCCACAGGGCTTCCTTTGTCTCCAGGAGAGGTACCATTAATGGCCACCCATAGGCCAGGCCAGGGGTGAATTTTCCTCTTTACCAAGTGTAAGGTCAGCAAGCAACAGGGGAGGTGAAAGCAGACAGAGTCTGTTTTCAGCTGTGGCTGTGAGGACCGCCCCAAGGCTAGTACAGAGGGTTGAATTGAACCACTGCTCACACGCTGTTCATTTGACACATCACTGCTACTTCCTGAGTTCCAGTCAAGTGCTGGCTATTGCATGTGCTTATCCCCATAAAAGTCCTAGATTATTCATCACCATCACCATTTAAGGGGCCCCCATTCTGGACGAGACCCTGCCTTAAGTAACAGAACTAGCAAGACACAGTGGAGACATAGCGCATGCCCCGTGCAAGAGGTGTTAAAAGCAAGTGACACCAACGTGGTGCAGAGGGAACACTCCCAGCCTTTGCAGTCTGGGACCTGCATCCACATCCATGCCCCAGTGCCTGCCATGAGACCTGGGAGAAATGACGTCCTTTTTTGTCTCCTGTCATGTGAGACAGCTCATCCACAGGGATGTTGTCTTCCCTCCTTCCTGAGGGCATCCACTATGGAATCTCTGTATTCCTGCCAGAAGGGTCACCACCCATAATGCACCCCAGCTGGAGACTGCAGCTGGGAAGCAAGATGTGCTGTTGAGAAAGAGGATGACCATGCCCAGGGAAATCACTGCTGCACTGCTTCTCACCCCATTAGCTCAGTGTCGGCCCCACAGTGCCCTACCAGGTGAGGGAAGGAGTAGAGCAAGAGAGAGCCAAGCTACGTCCCTCTAGCGAGCACCACACCTCATCCCCAACACTGATCTCCAAGGGGAGCCAGATTATCAGGTGCCCCATTTCTCCTTCACCCCTCTTTCTTATCCGCACTTTCCTAGAGAGGGAAAGAAAGGGGAACATTAGTAGAAGAGGGATCTAAGCATTGGGAAGGACACCTCCCCATCTCTTCTTGCTCTCCTGGGAATTCCTATCTCATCTTCCCCACTTTCTCCCCTCCTTTGTTGAAGTCCAGTAGTGACAATACAGGCTCGCCCAGTGCCCTGAATCCCCAAGATGCTGCCAGCTATCTTGGCCACTGGTGTGAGGATGTGTTCCAGCCTCTCCAGTTCCCAGTGGTAACCTTAAAATACAACTTGAAAACATTGTTCTGGGACAATGGGGGTGCCTGTGAATATACTTTACTGACAGCTGCAGTATAACTGCTGGTGGCTGTGGAGTGTCAATGTGCACACTGGCAATTGAGAAAATGGAAGGAATGGCATTGAATGGTGGCCTCGGGGCACCAGCATAGGACAGGTTGAAATGCAGCTCTCCACAGCTTAGGGCCCAGGAACATGAAGTCAAGCTTGGGCCCCATGGAGAGTCAGCTCTGCTGTCTACCCCACCCAGGCCACACTCCGAGCACTGACCCCATTAGGTCACGATGGCTTCCACCAAGGCTGATGGAATAGCAGGTTAGAGTTAGCTCACCACTTCCAATGAACTTCCTTGCAGTGTGCTCTAAGGGTGAGGAGAACATCTTATACACATATATAATGTAACTTGTAAAACACACATGTATTTAAATCTACACATATGTCAGCATTCCACTCAGAAGCCAGAAGCCAAGTTTATTTGCCCAAAAATTATATCATATTATTGTGTTAAAATTTTGAGTAAAAAATAGTAAAGAAATGGAAATAATAATCAAAAGTCTCCACAAACACAAAAGTCTCCTGGTGAATGCTGCCAAACTTCCATAGATCTGACACCCATTCTTCTCAAACTCTTGCAAAGATTTTTCAGTTAAAAAAAATGTTAAGTTCCTCTTCCTTGTTGATTGGGTTCAACATGAGGACACAGAGATGGACATCCCTGCTTAGCCCTACAGCTCTCCAGTCTCCGCTGGGCACCTTCCCTGCTTCCCCTGACTTTCCCCGCAGCCAGGTCAGGAGGCTCTGCTCCCAGCCCTGCAAGCAGTTTTGTAGAGTTTTTCCCACTGTCCTCTGACTGTGAGACAACCTTCTCAAATAAAAATTTCCATCTTCCAGAGTGTCAAAGTGAAGGTTTTCCTCCACTTGATATGAGATCCTTGGGGTACAGGGAAGGCCAAGTCCTGCTGGAAGAGCAAGGGCATTTTTGGCCAAGGGAATGGCACATGTGGGGCCAGATGGACAGAGAGGGGCCTGCTGAGCCTTCCCTTGGTAGGACCTGAGGGCAGGTGCAGTGAGGCACCATCCATCAGGGAATGTACTGATCTTCAGTGATAATGGCTTTGGTCTTTACCTAGAGGCATTGGGGAACTATTGATGGATTTTGAGCAGAGAAATGACATGCTTGGCTCTACTCTTTACAAAGCTTGCTTTATCAGTGGGTTGGCGGTCAAGGGGATTAAAGTAAAAGGCTTATCAAGAGGTTATTGGGGTCCACCCTGATGGCACAAGGAGTTAAGCACAGCACTGTGAAGCTGTCCGCAGCCTCTGTAGTGCAAATTCAATTCCTGGCCAGCGCAGCAGATCTCTCCTGTCTTGCCCACTGCTCCCCTCAGCAACTTATTTCAGTCAGACTGCCTGTTCTGTTCCCTACTCTGTCTTGGTGAATCCTCTCGCCCCCTGCACCTCTGGCCTACACCCCAGTTCTTGTATGCATGAATAATGTTTTTTTTTTTTTTTAAAAAAAAAGGTTATTGGGATCTAGTTGAGAGAGGATGAGACTTGAGCTGTGAATCAATAGTGAGAATAGAGAGAGGAGATAGATTGAGAAATCTATCAGGAGACTGAATCCCTAGGTGACTGGGATCAAATCCGGTGATTGTGCTGGGCACTGTGCCCCCTCCATGGACAGTAGGGATGGTCCTGCCCTTAAAGGGCTTCACCTAATGGGAAATTCCTATAAATAAACATTTATAGTAGAAGAGGTTGAGTATTCTTATCCCATACTTACCCTAACTTAGGTAAGTAAAATAGGATAAGTATAGGATATAGGTGGAAGCAAGAGGAGAGGACTATGACTCATTCTCAGACAGTCCAGAAAAACTGGGGCCACATGAGATAGGGGATATCAGGGAAAGTGGAGGTGTTAGGATGAAGGTAATGAGTTCAGAACAGGTGACACTGAGACTCTAGTCAGTGATGGATATGCTGACTCGCTAGCTCCTCGAGAAAGGCGAGGCTAGAGGATTTCATCTGAAAGTTATAAGCATCTAGGAAGGATGCTAAAACCACAAAGGAGTACGAAATACCCCCAAAGATCGAAGAAACAACTGAAGAAGTCAGAGGAGAGTCAGAAAGAAGTCCAACCAGAGAAGTGAAGAATGGAAAGAGTTTGAATAAAGAGTGGGCAAGAGCCAGGTGTGTGCTGAGGCTGGTAGGACTGGGTGTTTCCATGAGTTTTCTCAGGACAGTAGATGAGGACACTTAGGAAGAGGGAGTGTCCAGGAGTAGGAGGTCTGGAGGTTGAAGAATGAGTTGGGGGTGGAAGTGTAGATGGTGAGTGTGGAGACGCCTTTGAAGAAGGCCTTTGTGAAGGGAGTGAGGGAGATAGCAGTGACTAGGTAGGAATGTGGGGTGAAAGGTGGTTTGTTTCTTTAATATTTATATGCAGGGAGGCCACAGCTGGTAGAGAAGTCACAGAAGTTTATTGGAAGGAACAATCACTGTTGTTTCCTGCTATACTTGTGTTCCCATGCCCTTTGGAGTCCTTCAGCACTCAATGAGTGTGTTGGCTGCTCTGTGTGTAGGAGGAGGTGGGGGTTAGGACAAGACAGTTCCCTGACCCTACAGGAACTTCTTCTCATTTTCTCATAATCTATGACCAGACTGCAAGCTCCTGTAGGGCAGAACTGTGTCTTATTCACTGTTAATAGCTTCAGGACCTAGCACAGGGACCAGCACATAGTAGATGCTCAGTTAGTGTATGAGAAATTATCTATTCAATTGTAGTAAAAGTAGCCAGTGACTAAGATTATTTTTTAATAATTTCCATCATTTTGAATAACTTCTCAATCCCTTTCTCACCAGGCAGTTCTGCTCGTCTTGATTTTCGTCCTCAGAAAGAGAATAAAATTGACAGTGGAACTTTTCCAAGTCACAAGTAAAGCCATCAGCAGCTCTCCTTTCCTGCTATTCCAGCCGATGTGGACTTTTGCCATCCTTACTCTTTTCTGGGCCCTCTGGGTGGCTGTGCTGCTGAGCCTGGGGACTGCAGGTAAGGGAAGTGCCTGTGGGCTCCCTCACAGGGCACTCATGTATGGAAGACCTCGCCACTTTAGAACCATTGGCCTATTCCTGTGGGGACCAAGTGGCTAGCAGTGCCTAACGACTTCAGTGGTGCATGAAAGGAAACAAGTGTTTGTTGAAAATGTCCTAAATTCTAAGCTCCATGCTAGGTACTTACATTCTCTCCTTTAAGCATTGAAATCCCCTTTTGGCATATATGTCATGGCAATCAAGTTGCAGGCAAGAAATTGGAGATTCTGAGTAAGTAATTGGCCAAAGGTCATATAACTGGGAAGGGCAGTGGCTCCTTCTGACTTTGGAGCTTGAGAATAGGGCCTGCACACTGTCCACCACCTCCCATTGTTCTGGTGTCTGGGGTGCACATGAAGAAATAGAAACTAGGCCTCCTTGGGTTTGTCTGTTCAAGATGCAGCAGGATGTGATGGCAGCTGGCTGGCGCATGGTGCTGTGCCCAAGAGTGGATGACATGGCAGGGACGGAGGTCGACCACCAGGGAGGCAGGGAGGAGGCATCATGGAGGTGGCAGGACACACAGCTCTGGAGAATAGACCTTACCCTGAAGAAGCTCCAGAAAAAAGATGAGGTCTTGGCAAATGAGGCTCAGGGCCAATGATGGGTCTTCCTCCTCTGCCTTTTAAACACACCTCCCCACGGCCTGTCCCTTCTGCACTGTGAGTCTGGATGAAGGACGGCATCTGTGATTAAATCCCCACTGCTTTGGGGCTGGAAATACATGGTCTTTTCTACTCTTGCCTTCACAAGTGTTAGGCACGCCTGTGGGGATGGGCCCTGAGCGGGATGGTAGGGGAGGGCGCTATCCTCCGGCCATACTCATTCCATCGGCATGGACTGATGGCAAGCTGCTCACAGTGAATGTCGATGGATGTCATGGTAGGAGAAATTTGGGGAGTAGGGAGAGTCCCAAAATGGATTCTGACCCACTTTGTGAGTCAGGAAAGTCTTCTCAGGGTATAGGCTGGACATTGCCTGATCAGAAAATGCAGAAAGAATCAAATCAGTTCAATGGGGATCTCAGCTAGACATGAGGAAAGGAGCAGTCACAGAGGGTAAGGAGAGAGTGAGTCATGAAAGTGGGGTACCATCAGATAGGGGCAAGCCTCAAGGCCAGCTGCTGGCCATTTTGGTTCCCTTTGTAGGCCCAGGTTGGGCCCAGGGCCCTGGGGACATGGATTGGCCTCAGCCCAGAACTAGGCTGGAAGGGCTGGAAGGGCCATGGGACAGCCACAGAGGGTTTACTCTGCAGGGTGGAAGGTAGCCCATTGTTCAGTCAGGCCCGTGAGTAAAATGCGGCAGCTCTCTGTCAGCGGAAGCGAGAGGAGCAACAGTGAGGGGAATGGTGGGGAAGGAAAGCAAATCTACATGTCCGTGAGTAAGTTGACTTTCCATTTTATCAAAGGGGGCCTGTCACACAGAGCAGCAACCAGCTTCCCAATTCCCTGGGGCCAGTCACCACAAAAACCAGGCTCTTGGTCTTGCAGGCCACGTAACCCCCTCCTCCCTTCCCACTCACCTGTGGGCTGACCCAGGTGCACAGAAGGCCCTTTGTTTTCAAAGGCCTTTCAGCCAGTGTCAGAGCCACAGGTTGGGGCTGGCAGGTCAGCCACATCCCTTTGCTTCACATAGTTTTGATCTTCAGAAGATGCCCCAGTGACACTAGCAAGAGACTGTGAGCTGCTCTCTTGTCTTGTGAAGAGATTTGAGCAATCTGGGTGGCGAGATCCCCGAGCAGTGCCCATTGGTCTCACTCACACCCTCAGGCAGATACAGCAGCTCTCTTCTCACCCCTGCCAAGTGTTGCGTGGGGTGTTCTCAGAGGGTGAATAATTGTGTGTTTTGCATCATGTCAGATAATCAAGTGAGTTAGTATCTTAATATGTAAAAAAAGAAGTAGAGAAAAGTTAAAGTTAGGTTGATCACATCTGCCCAGATCAGCCATTTCTCTATACTGTCCATCATCTCTCAACTAGCTGAGGAGTTCTGTCTTGTTGGGGCTTGTTTAGCCTATCAAGGTCCTCAGCAGTGATGTCCATTTGTCCATTGCAATTTGTTTGGTACCTGCAATGTGACAGTGACTCCTAAAACCCATTAGAAAATGGTAGACTGCAATAACTTAGGGAACCCAGCAGGTGAGCTGGCAGGTTGGAAAGAGACCAGGGGACCTGGTTACCCGCCTCTGATGGTCATCAGGAAAGGGGCCTGCAATCCTCAGAGTCTGAACTAGGGGAGAGGCCCACTTGGGAGGTCTTGGGTTACAGCAAGGACACCCATTCAACTAGAGTGGTGTGGGTGAAGGAAAGCATGGTTCAGGAGGGGTCAGAGAGAGCACAGGGCTAGATCCTGTGGACTTTTTTTATGGAACTTTGGTTCTCATGTGGCACCGGAGTCATTGCAGAGTTATAAGCAGAATAACGACATGATCTGACTTACATTTTTAGAGCAGTGGTCCAGGGAGGAGATGACAGTGGCTCAGAACAGAGTCATAAGGTGGAAGTGGGGTGACATATTGGATTCCACATTTATTTTAGAGGATTTGTGAATATGTTCATTGAGGGTGTAAAAGAAAGAAGAGCTGGACAGGACATGAGGTTTTCTGGTCTGAGCAACTGGAAGATGGGATTGCCTTCAACTGAGGTAGAATGCAACTTTGAGTGAAGCAGAAATACAGTTTGGGTTGTGCTGATGAGATGTCTTTTAAGCAGTCAGATGGAGTGTCAAGTAGACACTTAATCATCTGAGTTTGAAGTCTCAGGAGAGATCCCAGCTAGACATCTACATTGGGAGCTTGGGACCACATAAATAGTATTTAAAACCATGATTAGCATGAGTATAGAGAAGAGAATAAACCCATACACAGACTGTGCTGCAGTGTGCTTTAATATTAAGAGGTCCTGAAGTTGAGGAAGAGTAAGGAAAGGAGATGAAAGGGAACAACATTGGCAGGAGGAGAAAAAGGTGCCATCTTGGAATTTGGAAAGATTTCATGGAGGTATAAATGGTCCAATGTGGCAAATGCTGCTGAAAAATATAAAAACTGAAGATTGACCATTAAAGTTAGCAGCATGGAAGTGAAACAAAAGTTTCAAAGAAGTATTGAAGGGTGGGTCATGATAGGGCGCAATTGAGGAAAAGTGGCAGAAATGAATTGAAAGTATAAATAGAGAATCTTGAGGAATTTGGTCATAAAAAGGGATAAAGAACAGGGTAGGATCCTGAAGGAAGAAAGCAAAGAAGAGGTTTTTTGCTCTTTCTCCAAGATATCAGGAAGAGAGGAATATTTTGATGAAGCAAGAACAAAGGAGAGAATTCTTGAGACAACTTCACTGCAGGTGAGAACAGGCGTCTAGTGGAGGGGCTAGCCTTAGGATCACAGACAGCTTGTCATATTAAGGGGAGTCAGATCATGGGCCCATGCTGAGAGCAGGGGCATATGGGGGAAGACACAGGTGGAAAGGGCATATGGGGGCAGACACCAGTGAAAATTTCCTCAATGTTTCAATTTTCTGAGAGCATCAAGAAGTAAAATCATTGACTGAGAGTAAGGATGGGGAAAAACTACTGGAGGTTGGAGGAGAAACAGTTCAGAAGTAAAATGAATACATGAACATGGCAACATGTGAGTCCCTGATACTCACTCAGATGATACCTTCTTTCTGATTTCATTCATCTATCTCCTTCATTTCCCCCTAATAGCTGATATCAAGTGTAATTCCAGTGTGCATCAGATGCTTAATAAATATTTAAGTTCAGTTTTAGAACTGGAATCATTACCACTTAGATCCCAATTATAGATAACCCTCTATTTAACTTACTGTTCTAAGTACCTTACCCATACAACCCTCATCACAGCTTCTGAATGTGACTGCCAAGGGAAGGATAAGTGGTTATTAGTACTTTCTGATTACAGATCACGAAAACAGAGATTTTTAAAGCTCCCATAACCTGCCTGAGGTTGGCCAGCCATTAGGGGATAATGCAGAGAATCTCAACCTGTGTCACTTGCAAGCCTGAGGTTGTAACCACTGCTCCAGTGTTTAACTTCTCCACCTTCTTCATCTTTATGAGATGAGCACTGAGCTCAAGATTGCTTATCACTTATGTCAGAAACCTAGTCTGGAACCAAATCCTCTCACAGTTACTGATTTTTCTGCTAATATACCCAAGAGCCATGATTTCTTGGGATCTAGCTGTAGTTCAGTTCTCATTAATACCTGTTAGCTACACAGAGTAGTAGCTATATTGTAATAACTTATAAGTAACAAAAGTAATTGGTCCTTAAATGAGGGACTTTTCCTGCACTGACATGACTGTCCAGGAGAGGGCAGGCATGTACCTACAAGCACGCCTGCCCCACCCACAGACTGTCCAACTTGTCTCTAAGCTTTTACTCTTGAAGCAGAACACCTGATTGTTCAGAGAATGATGGCTTAAAGGGGTGGTTCTCAAGCAGCAGTTTTGTCCCCCAGTTAGCTTTTGGCAATGTCTGGAGTCATTTGGGCATGTCATAAGTGGAGGGGAGGAGGGAAGAAGGAAGTTACTGGTGTCTAGCAGATAGAAGCCAGGAATGCTGCTAAACACCCTACAATATACAGGACCCCCCCCCCAATGAATTATCTGATCCAAAATGTCAATTGGGGTGTTGAGAGGTTGAGAAAACAATGCCCTAAAGGCCTGTGAAGCCAAATCATAGGGAAAATGAGAAGGTGGCTTCAATAAAGATGTTTAAAAATCAGGGGCCAGACAAGAATAACTTATGGTTCTGCTTCTTTGGGGAATGCCAAGAGTTTGAAAGCCCATGTGGACCTTGACTTATCTCTTTGGCGATTCTCCACTTGCTCACAGTTGCCATTAGTTGCAGAGCTGGGACGTGTGAGAATGTGCCCTTGATGGCACAAGGCAAGCAAGAAGTGAGATCTTCCCTCATGCCAGCATCCAGGGCCTTCCTTCTTACCTTTTGTCTGTCAAGGAATTTGTCCCTCTTGTTCAGTGGGAAAACTCTCCTCCCTAAAACCATTTGTGATCTTGTAGACCTATTCTCACAACACTGCAGTCCTTCCCTGGGAACCCTGGGCCTAGCGGGTAGAGCAAGGTGCTTATTCTGCTACTCTATCACTTTTCTACTCCAAGGAGGGTTCTTCAAGACTCCCTAAGCACTTAATGCCAGTTGTGAGAGGTCACATTCTTTGGAAACACACCCATATTGGAAAAGCATAAGCATTTATCAATGTGTTACCTGAAATATAGATTGCCTCCAAGCCAGAATGAGCCCAGTGTTCAATAAAGTAGCAACTTCTCTCTGCAAATCAAGCTGCTCCTGTTTCTCACGAGATTTATTCCGCGGAACACAGAGCATAAGCAATGAAGCAGCCTTCCCCTGGGGAATTGGTTTGCTCTACAGCATTGTTATCTTCTCCCTCTTCCTTTGCACAGACCCTGTTGTGAATGTCTAAGGACATATGAACCATCAACCTAAAATCAATTTGTAACTGTGAAAGGAAATATGAAACTATCTTTAAATATTATTCAAGGGCCTCCCTGGTGGTGCAAGGGGTTAAGTCTCAGCACTATGAAGCTATTGGCAGCTACTGCAGCACGAGTTGGATGCCCAGCCATGGAGCTACCCACATGGTACAGCAGACCTCTCCTGTCTCGCCTGCTGCTCCCCTTAGCACTGTATCTCAGTCAGTCTGCCTGTTCTGTTCCCCACTCTATCTCTAGTGAATCTTCTCACCCCCTGCACCGCAGGCCTATACCCCAGTTATTGTATGCATAAATTAAAAAATCATAAAAACATAAAGCACCTAGGGGAAGATATCTAGAAATCAAGCATAGCCACAGAGCTGGGATTTGGATTTCCCAATTCAAGGCTTGAATGGCCTTGAATTGCAGAGCTAAATCAAGGGCTTTTTCAGAAAGGCAAATAAAGAAGGGTACGGTCATGTGAATGGCAGAGAATTGACTTTCTGGCTGTGGTTTAATTCCATATTGTGATCCTGAAAGTCAAGCATAATAGCCATTCTCACTTATGGGGTGATATTTTTATGAGGCCTGATATATATGGGAGAGTACTTACCAGCTAATCTCACTCCATACTGAAACTACAACCATAAAATGAGTGTTATAAATAAGGATATTTTAAATGTGCTAAAGGAGCTTGCCTTTGAGATGAAATCTGAAAGAATTTCCTTCAAAAAAGTAAAGATCCTATCTTTTTTATAAAGTCCAAACTTTTGGTGAAGTAGGATTCTGTAACATAGTCCTAAAGGCTTTGTGTGATTTTGTAACATACCAAGTTGTATTTGCATCTCAAAGTGATGTGGTAGAAAAACCACAGGTTTTAGAGTCCAGCATGTCTGGGTTTATTTGCTCCTTCCATTAGCCATGAGCAGTGAGACTTTACAAAAGTGAAGTGATTGTTGCAAGCCTAGGTTTTCCACATTCTGAGTGGGGCAAGTACTACAGCATCAGCCATGTGTCTTGCACATTGCCTGACCCATCTGTTACTTTCATTTTGTTTCTTGATATTATGCATGACCTAAATGTGTGTTCTCAATTTTTAATTTTTGCTCCAGAGATCTTAAATTATGGTGGGTGCTTCAAACTTCACTTTGGTATCTGCATTTCAAATACTGTCAGATGCCAGGCATGAGGAAACACAGCTTGTTGCTCAGGATACATTGGTGTAAAGTATGTTTATGTTTTAACTTTAGGAACTGCCCAGGTTATCGAAGGTGGCCATGTGGAGTATGAGCCGCTCTCGGGCATTCGGTTTATGTGGTGGTACCATTTAATTGGCCTCATCTGGACGAGTGAATTCATCCTGGCATGTCAGCAAATGACTGTAGCTGGGGCAGTTGCCAATTGTTATTTCAACAGGTAGGTGGAGTGATGACGCCTGTTGGTCTATGTGCTTTATGTTTTATATCTCAAACAGTCTTTTGGAGTCTTCACATGGCCCCTTTAAAGGGGCTGGCAAAACTAAAAGATAACACTAAAATTTGCACTGGGTGCTCATTTGGTGGTGTGAAGAAATCGTCTACATTAAAATCTGTCATATTTAGAAGCTCTTTTGCTTTGAGCTAGAAAATTCAGAAGCCAAACAGGGAAGTCATTAGACTGCTTAGAATTTTAAAAAATCTGAAGGGAAGGAAGGGTACATTTCTCCTGTAAAAAATCCATTCTTGGGCCTCCCTGGTGGCGCAAGAGGTTAAAACGCAACCTATGAAGCAATCTGTAGCCACTGCAGCATGAGTTCGATCCCCTGCCAGGGAGCTAAACATATGGCACAGCAGACCTCTCCTGTCTTGCCCACTGCTCCCCTCAGCAGTGTATTTCCATTAATCTCTCTGTTCTGTTCCCCACTCTGTCTCCGGTGAATCCTCTCACCCCCCACACCTCTGGCCTGTACCCCAGTTCCTGTATGCATAAATAAATAAATCTTTAATAAAAAAGTCCATTCTAAGTGACTTGCTCACTTAGTGTTTGGTGTTTGGAACACATTTCAATAAGTTCCATGAACCTTATTTTATCCTATGTAAAATAGGAGAATGTTTACTTAGAAAATAATTATAAATCCTAAGGAAATTATATATATAGTTTGTGTTTATATAGTTAAGTACTAGTGAATTAATTACCTGTTTTTATGTTCACCATGAGATACGTAAGGCTTTATACCCCATTACCTCACCAGAATAATTGAGGACACACAGCCCTTTAGCTCTTTTGTGTGTGTAACTCTCCATGGGGCAATGATAAAACTGCAGGCAAGAATTGTGGGGCCAGGACAATGATAGGGTTGGACTCAAAACAGGAAGTTTACTCCCCGATAGGGCTGATCCTCCTCTAATCTCTCAGACCAAATGAGTAGATAAACTTGAGTGTAAATAGGGTAAGAAAGCCAGCCAGAAATGATTCATGCCATTGAGCAGTTACCTCCTGATGATAAAGAGTACTGGAGTTTTAATGTAATGGCGCTATTTGGGATCCTCCATCATTACTGATTTAGAGATGCACAATGGGCTATAACACTTGGCATTAAAAACCACCAAGCAACTGGAAGTGGGTGGTGTGTGCTGCTTGCTCCTGAGTAGGGGGCAAGGCTATTCTAACCAGATTGGCCCTGCAGATACCAGCTGTTGGACAGCAGTGATTTTGTATTATCTTAGAATCACAAACCAAACATTGTCAATGAGAGCTTTTCTGGTTTGTACTTCCAGTGAAACATACATTTATCTCCTAACCACCTCCCCAATCCACGCCCCCCCAAAATGACATATGAATGAAATATACAAGGACAGTATGAAACAGAGGCAATGACCAAAAATAAGAAATGTCAATCAAGTGTTGAAGGCTGATGGGAGGAGGTATGAGGGAAGATGCTCAGCAGAGAATCTGTGAGTTGGGTGAGAGAGGAGGGTGAAAATAATATGCAAACTGATATGAGCCACAAAAACCTAAAGAGGCTAGGGAATCCTCAAGTAATATATACTTCTGAAAATAAGTTTAAAATCTTCCTAAGGAGCAGTTAGGCCCCAGATTCCCCCTCCACACCATTAGAAGATGAGAACTTTCCTCTCTGGAAAGGTGAACCAGAGAGTCTGTACTTGGGATATCTGGCAACAGCTGAGGCCAGGGATAGGCTTTATAGTGAAAGAAGGAGGAATAAGCAAAAATCTAAATCCTAAAAATGAGGGCCCACCACCACCATTCCACAGCTCAGTGCCCAGGATACTGAACACTCAGTATCATGGTACCCAGTGCCATGACATCCCCTAGACAGGAGTAAGAGGATTCTTCTTTGGAGAAATTGTTGAGTCTAAAGTGAAGAACTATAGATAATGCCATATGGAGGTCTCCTGTTGAAATGACCTGATTCTCTGACTCTGAATCAGAGGGTAAAATTCACCAGTTAACAATGTCCTCACACAGTTTCCAATTCACTCTTTAGTGCCTCACTCTTATTTGTGATTGGATAACCAATGATAATTAAACATTTTATTTCCTTTCCTGTACAACTTTTGGGTTTTCCTGAAGGTTAAAAAAAACCCTGTAGTGAAAGAAAAAGATCAAAATGAACAAAGCAAATAACAAAAGGAATTTAAAGAAAAAAGAAATAGTGCAGGCAGCAGAAAAAGATGACAAAAATAAACTATAGTATTCTTATAGAGATCAAAGAACACTGCATCCATAAAATAACAACCAAAAAAAAAAAAGAAAAAGAAACAGTATGAGAAAAGACTCTTAGCAATAAAAAATATATTGCAAAAGCAAAAATTTTCTATCAAAGGATTAAAACATAAAGTTAGAGAACTCTTCCAGGAGGTAGAGCAAAGAGAAAAATGGAAGGGGGGAGGGGTAATGTTAAAATATAAACTTAGGGGATCCAACATATGACTAATATAAATTCCAGGGATAAAAAATAAAGAAAATATAAGGCATTAAAAATGAAAATTTCCCAAAGCTAAAGGACATGAATAAAGAGAAAATCCAGAAACTTCTAGAGAGAAAAATAGACCATAGTCAAAGAATCAAGAGCTGGGATGAATCTGACTTTCAACAGGCACTCTGAACCAGGAAGGCAATGGAACAAGGCTGTCAAAATTCCAACCTAGAATTCTATATCTATTCATACTGTTAGTCAGAGATAAAGAAGTGTGAAGTCATATTCAGACATACAACAGTCTAAAAGATTTCCCTCTCCACACTCCTTCTTAGGAAGGATGTTCTATACCGAAATGAATGAGTAAAACATGAGTTTCAGGAAATGAGTTCTGACACATAAAAGAAGAGAAGGGAATTCCCAGGAAGCTAGTGATAAAGCAGGTATAGAAAATATTCAGTCCAAAGTGGAGTAGGGGGCAGTGGCTCAGGAGGGATTTCTCTGAAGGGCAGGGTGGGGGGGGGGGTTGGGGGGGGGGAGGGGGCAGGAAGCCAAAAGAATAGCAGATTGTGTAAACATTTGGAAAAAAGATTCATACTTTGGTGAAGCAGCTGGTGAAACTAATGGAAATACAAGCAAATAATAATGTGAAACAATAATTAACTTCAGTAAAAACTAAAAGTTGTACAGGAAAGGAAATATAATCAGAACATACCACTTGTGTCACTGGTGAATATTGTTCATGTACTGATAGCACAAATACTAAATATTAACTAAAATATATGCAATGGTGAAAGGTAAAATAAAAGGTATCCATATTGAAAAGGAAAAAGTAAGATTATCTTTGTTTGCAGATGTGTGTGTTTTCCTGTATACCCCACTAAAAAATTGTAAGAACTAATTAGTAAATCCAGTAAAGGTGCAGGATACAAAATCAACATACAGAAAGCAGTTGCATTTTTGTACCTGAACAATGGACTATCTAAAAAAAAAAATAAAAACAACAATCCTCTTCACAGAGCATTAAAACAGAAATAAATTAAATCAAGGAGGAGAAATATCTACATAAAAATTGTATGACTGATGAAAGGAATTAAAGAAGACATAAGTAAATGGAAAGATTTTCTGCGTTCATTGATCAGAAGATTTAATACACAAAGTCATCTATAAATTTAATGCAATCCCTATCAAAAATCCAATAGGACATAGGAAAAAATCTTGAAGTTTATATGGAATTACAAAATACCTTGAATAACTAAAGAAATCCTGAAAAAGAAGAACAAAGCTGGAGGTAGCAAGCTTCCTGATTTCATGCTACGCTACAAAACTGTAACAATGAAAATGGTATGGTACTGACATAAAAATAGACACATAGATAAACAGAACACTATCAGGAACCAAGAAATAAACCTTCACATGTAAGAAGGGGAAGCATATCCTCTTCAATAAATAGTGCTAGGAAAAATAGGCAACCATATATAGAAGAATGATATTATATCCCCAATTTATACAATTCCCAAAAATAAATTTAAAATGGAGTAAAGATTTAAACGTAAGAATTGAAACTGTAAAACTCCTACAATGAAACATAGGGAAAATATTCCTTGACATTGGCCTTGCAAAGATTTTTTTTTTTTTTTAAAGATTTATTTATTTATTTATACAAGCACTGGGTATAGTCAGAAGCACGGGAGGGTGAGAGAATTCACCAGAGCCGGAGCAGGGAGCAGAACAGGCAGAAGGACGAAGTACACTGCTGAGGGGAGCAGCGGGCGGCAGGAGAGGTCTACGCGCCATGTGGGACCCTCCTCCGGTGCCGGGGAGCAGCTGGGGATCGAACCCTCACTGCAGAGGCTGCGGGCAGCTTCGCAACCCAGCGCTCAACCGCTGCGCCACCGGGGAGACCCTGCAAAGAATTTTTTTTAATAAATAAATCATAAGCAACAATACATCAAACTAAGAACATTTGCATAGCCATAGAAACAACCACCAAAAAGGCAACCTACAGACTGGGAGAAAAATATTTGAAAATTAGATATCTGATAAGTAATTAATTTCCAAAATATATGAAGAACTCATGTAACGAAAAAAAATCAAATTGAAATATGGGCAGAGGATCTGAACAGACATTTTTCCAAAGAAGTCATAGAATAACCAAAGGGTATATGAAAAAGTGTTCAATATCACTAATCATCAGGGAAATGCAAATCAAAACCAGAATGAGATACCGCCATACCCCTGTTGGGATGTCTATCATCAAAAAAGACAAGAGACAATAACAAATGTTGGTGAGGATGTAGAAAAAAGGGAACCCTGTACACTGTTGGCAGCAATAAAAATTGGTAAATCACTATATGTAATAGTATAACAGTATGGAGGTTCATGAAAAAAAAAATAAATAGAACTCCCAGAAATAAAATATTATTGAGAAAAATAAAACTACCATATGATCCAGCAATCCCACTTTTGGGTATGAATCCAAAGGAAATGAAAACAAGATCTTGAAGAGAAATCTGCACTCCATGTTCATTGTAGCATTAGTCACAATCAGCAAGATATGAAAGCAGCCTGAGTGTTAGCAGATGAATGGATAAAGATGTGATACACACATACACACACACACACACACACACAGAGGAATATTATTCAACCATGAGAAACAAGGAAATCCTGCTATTTGTGACAACATGCTGGACCTTGAGGGATTATGCTCAATGAAATAAGTCAGGCAGAGAAAGACAAATACTGTGTGATATCATTTATATGTGGAATCTAAAATGCTGAACTCATAGAAACACAAAAAACAGTGTGGTTACCAGGGACTAAGGGCTTGGGTAAAATGGAAAATGTTTATTAAAGGCTGCAAGCTTCCAGCTAGAAGGTAAGTCCTGGGGATATAATACAGGATGGTGATTATAACTAAAAGACAGCATTACATGCTTGAAAGTTGCTAAGACAGTAGATCTTAAATGTTCTCATTACAGAAAAGAAATGGTAATTATCTGACCATTTATAATATATAGCTGATGTTATAGTGGTTATCACTTTGCATTGTATAAGTATATCAAATCAACATGTTGTACACCTTAAACTTACATGATATTGGGTGTCAATTATATCTCAGTGAAATTCAAAAAACATTTAATATTTCAAATAATTATACTGAGTGGGGGGATGGGGAAATAGGAATGTTGGGGAGCTTAAGAGAATTAAACCTCTTCCACAGTGGGAAGTCCATGGATAAAAGCTGAGGCTGAAAAAGTCAAGAAATAGTACTAAAAGCATGTAATTTTGAAATGTGGAGGAAACAGCTAAAATATTATCTCTAGGGAGAGAAAATTAGGGTTAGAAGAAAACTGCTCTTTTGCTTGTGAAGCTTGGCAGTATTATTTGACCTTTTAAGGTACTTTCCCTATTACTTTGATAAAAATAAACAAATTAATTTAACATGAATGTATGCTGATATACTTTTAGCACTAGTCTTTCATTTATTAAAGGGTTCTGCTTTTTTTTTTTTTGATCTTGTGCCCAATTTTGAAACCTCAAGGTTTTTATCTACAAGTTCACAATTCTTTAATGTCATGTTGTAGCCTGCTCACAGGGTGAGGATTAAATGTATTAATAGCAGAGTGTGTTCATTTTTGTCATTCATTTAAGCACTCAGAGATCTAAAGCTGTCAAGTACCAGGGTGTGGGCGACCTGTAAAATGTCCCTTTTACAACCACCTGCTTGAAGAGGGATGAACTCAGAGCCTAAAGATGTGATTAGGGAGGTGATAGGAAGGAGCTAGAACTGTCTGACTCGGTGAAGGGACGCTTGAGGCATGACTTCATCATCATTTTCAAATTTACAAAGATGGTTTCCAGCTGTTCTGGATTCATGGAGGAAAGAGCAAGGAAATGGATTTACAGCCAAGCCTAAGGAATGTAGGAAGGAGACATGAATTCCAGCGAGAGCTGCCGAGGACAGCTAAAAAACCCTGCTCTTCCCAATAAAGGCAATTTCCATTTTTCACTAGGATTGGAAAGATGAACCTGGTAGTTTCTTCACAGCCCTACCTTCTGGTGATTTTGCAGAAAGAAATATCAAGAACGGATGTTTTCTCGGTGGCACTGCGTGGTACTGCTCTGCTTGGGGCCAGATTTACATGGCAGGCTACCCATCCCATGCAGCCCGGACCTCGTCAAGGAGCCTCAGCACAAAATTAATTTTTCATACAGTTGAAAGACTTCTTAATGACCACTGGGTTGGATCTAACTAGAACAAAAACTTGCCGCTAGGACACTGAAGTTCCTCACTTGGCCTTATCTCTGTTATCCAAGAGATTAGTAGCTGCAAAACAGCTTATGAACCATGACCCAAAGGGGTTATAAGACTTGGATGAATGAGGCCATGGAACCTTTGTCCAGAAGCTTGTTGATGTCCTGGGGCCTTGGCTCCCTTGCCCACGTCCAAGCACCTGGGTTTAGAAGACTGTCTTGGGTTTAGAAGACAGGATGAGTTAGGCTTGAGGGCACATCTGGAAACATGGACTCTTACACTGCCCAGTCTTTCTCACTACCACCACCCACAGAACAGGGGTGGATGGTGCTCTGCACTCGCTCTTCCTAGAGACAGACAAGCCAGGCTAACCAGAGGCCCTAACCTCCCAGGACACTCGTTTCTGGGTCATCCAATCCATCCAGCATTGTGTTGCCTCCCTTAGTTGTCACACTGTGGCTCACTTGAGAGGTATGAGTTATTTTAAGCCTCTCCAGGTGTAATCAAATCATCTTCCTGGAGGCAAGTTTTGCTGGTTGTGAAGGAGACAAAGCTGAAGGCTCTAACCAGTATACAGCAGGGAAAGGATGACAGGATGGTGTTGCCTTTGAAACTGAAAACTTGTGTAAAAAGAGAAAATAGGGGGTCTCACGAACATTACTTGACCTTGTTCTGAGGGGGCTGTGTCTAGTTTTCAGGGCACATATCGAGTGAGGCCTGATTCTGTGAGCTGGCCTGGGTCTTTGGGGCTTTCTTTTTTAAAAGTGGTCTCTGTCATCAAGTGATAACCCAGATTCTGGAACCTCTGCATCTTATTCCAGCTCAGCCCTGTGTGATGAGCAAGGGCTGACGGCCTGAAATGGTTAATCTCGCCATGGTGAAAAGCTTCTCAGAAAGATGATGTCTAACCCCAGACTTCCATACCTAGAGGACCAGACTCCAAGGCCCCCATTCTCAGTAGCCAATGAATCATCTGTTTCCCTAGCAGATGGAAAGCAGGTGTTGTTCTCATCTCCCTGCATCTCCCCTTGAGCACCATAGTAAGTTCTAAGGCACATAAATCTCCTAAGTGGAAAAGTAAACATTCTTCCTCTAAAAAAAAAAAATAGGAAAGGGAAAAACTGTGTCAGATTTTCCTGGCCTGTGCCACTCTTACAGTTTATCAGATCAAAATGAATTCATATCAGCAATAGCTTTCCTGGTATTTCCTACTTTCAGTAATATTGAGTTGAAACACACATCGTCCTTCTGTGGGACAATTTGATTGCAGTTATTCTGCTCCCAATATTACTTTTATGTTCTCTTTTCCTTCCTGGATGATTTAAGTAACAGCAAATAACAGCTGTTGCCAACTCTTGAAAACATTTCTGGCTGCATTCTTTTTCCTGCCTCAAAACCTAGGCCTTTGCCACAACCTTAATTCATAATGACTTATTAGCAACCAGAGCAAGTTGTAGAATAATCCATTATGAAGAAATCAAGCTTCACTTGGATTTAGTGAAGTTGCTTCTCGGAAAGGACCTCATTTTCCAAAATTGGCACCAGTGGGAATTCAGAGGGTCAACGAAGGGGGTGCATCAGCCCTCCCTGTTTTATCTTTCAGATTTGGAGGGGGAGGGATGGCTGTGCCCATTCTGCTCTTTTTCACTTTTTTCCCCAGCCTGTGAAAGTGACGATTGCATTCTTGGAAATTGTGTCATGACAAGTCCCGTAAATGATTCACACTGAAGTGACCTTTAAAGAACAGAGTTGAAATCAGCTGAATTTCAGGAGCCTAGAGCTGTGCAGAAGCCAAAGCTCCAAGGCTTTCTGGCCTTCCCTTTGAGCTGAGCTCACTGTTACCTCTCTGGCTGCTGATCATGGTCATGTGATTTCATGGTGCTTTTCATCACCAAGCTAATGCTGGCAACACTTCTGTGTGCTCATGTGTAATTTAAACCTTAGAGATGATTATATAATTAAACTTCCGAAAATGAAAATGAGATGAATAGGCCACTTACAGGACTTGTGGCGGGAGGAGGTATTGTAAAGAGGGAAACCTGTTTATTTTAACTCATCATCTATTCTGTTTGGAGCCAAAAGGAATTAACTTAGTCCCAAAAAATAGTTGGACCTAAGCTACCAAAGAATATAAAATTTTTGCCATCACTCTTAATAATGTATTAATATTATTTAATGGTTTGAACCACAGTTTTTTGTTCCTTTTAAAAAGTGTTTTAATACTGTCTTTTTTTTCCTGTTCCCAGAAATAAAAGTGACCCTCCTGATCACCCAATCCTTTCATCCCTCTCCATTCTCTTTTTCTACCATCAAGGAACAGTTGTTAAAGGCTCATTTTTAATCACTGTGATGAGGATTCCAAGAACCATTCTCTTGTTCATTTATAACAGCCTGAAAGACAAGGTAAGGCAGCAACTTAATACACAATGAAGATGGGTTTGGACACTGAAAAGTTAGTCACTGGAACACAACAGCAGGTCTCAGGACGGGAATGTGACCTGTGATCACGTCCATTCAAAATCCCTTGTGTCCCTCCCCTCCCAGGCACATTTCCCCCTCAGTTTCTGCTTCATTTATGGTTTTGTCTGTTGGGTTTTCTCCAACATGGTGGAGGATGTGAGGTAAAAAGAGGATAGTTCTGAGTTAGTTGGTTTTCCTTCTTATTTAAATGCTGAACGAAGGAGAGGAATTCTTTCATGTGTGGGGTGGAGGGAGATTCTTAAGATGAAGTTTTAAACAAGTGTTTGTGGACATTTATCATGCTTTAAAAAAAAAAAAACAAGAAAATATACTACAAGATTGGAATAGTATCTTCTTGTTTCTGTTTTCAAGCCAACATCTTTTCTGCCTTTTGTTTCCTAGAGGGTTTACTGGAAGTTACTGGTGAGCATGAAGGAGAAAGGAAGAGAGTTTGAATGAGTGTGAGAGAGGGTGTGCTTGCACACATACTAACACACACACTTAAGAGTGAGAAATGGGCAAGCTGACCTAAATTTTAGCTCAAAGGACAGAAAACTGTAGGGCTTTTGTGCCTGGGGGTTTTCTCCTCCCTGGTTTTTATTTCCATGCACATTTGGGTATGAATGCCAGTGGAAACCAGAACACCAGGAAAACAGCTGTTCTCATGGTATTTCTGGCCTGCCAAACAAGGGAAGGTTGGACTTTTCCCAACTTTTCTGTTCTCACACGTTAATCTCCTCCCATCCCCTCCTTAGTGTTGGTGATTTAATCAGCTTCACATACTTACCTGATTCCAACCTTTTGCATATACTATGTGTCTGTAGTAATTTTTCACATAGATTCATAATTATATCTAACATTGTTTTTGTTTGTTCTTTTACATAGAAACATGAATTGTCAATATTTTTAAGTCCATACTCAAGATTTATCTATTAAGAACAATTGACTAATTTCACATGAAATTATCTAGCTTCCTTATCTTTAAATATCTACATGATAAGCAATTGTACCTGATCATGGTATGCTTTTCTTGTATTCTATTAAAATATTGTTTAGCTACATTTATGTATCGATCCTTCAATCTTAGGAAACTTGGAATAGGAATTGGGGAGAAACATATTCATATGTGTGTGTATTAGCAATAGATAAATATAAATTAATGATCAGGAGGGAACTTGTTGTTCTTCCTAGAACTAGGTATCTTAAACTCTTAGAGAAAATCACCTTCCACAAATTTAAAAGAGAAGTGGGTGCGTTGATCTCTCTGAGATTTCTAAAAAGTTATCTTCACTCCCCAGAAGGACCAAGGGGCCAGCTTTTTTTTTCGTGAAGAGGCTGTTGGAGAAATGTGTCCTTACTTAGATTTTTTTTTTTAAAAAAAAGGCACTTTTACAACAATGTACTGTCTACAATTTAAACATTTCACACATTCACTGTGTGATCTTTCCTACTTTAAATGGCTCATTCACAACCGCAGCCAGGCTGAAAAGCATCCAGATCAAGTTTCATCCAACTGAATTAACACTGGGACAAGAAAATGTCCATATAAGGCTGAGTTATTCCTGGGGTCCTCGTGGAGGACTATTTCAGGGTTGTTTTCAGGGATTTTTTTTTTATTCTCCCCAGTGGATAGGATGTGTTTGTTCAATCACTCCTCCCCCAAAGTTTCATTAAATTATTCACTCGAGCTACATATGAGTTCAAGTCATATTTCAGAAGATTAATTTTTCCCCTTGTAATTTAGTCCTGAAATTCTCTTTATAGGATTTATGTCCAAAAAAGTTAAACTTGATTCCTCTTTTATGTGAGCACAACTAGTATCTATGATCCATTCTCTATTGTCTTTGGGATGTGAGTTTTTCATAAATATAAACCTTGGTTTGCAAGTGTAAAGTTTACAATTGAAGACACTTAGGGGAGATAAAGAGAGAAGGGAGATTCTTCATAGGACCAGGACAAGTTTACCTTTGCTAGGAAATGTGGACTAACCCATGTCAATTTCTACTGAAGTCAGCAGCAATCATAACAGGTAAACCTATAAGAGAGAATTTTGCTTGTAGTAATAATAGTGGTAGTAATAGTAGAGTAGTAATGATTAACTAATAGAATTGCAGGTACAAAGTAGAACTTCCCCCATACTTGATGAGAAGTACTCCTAAGAGCCTACATCTCCAGGCAGAAACAGTGTGTCTTCAGAAAGTGCCAGCTTACCTCTTTGCTATGTTTTGTCTGACTCTGTGCTTTTGACTTTGAACCTCATCCCAACAGCGTCATGCATGGTCGAGGTGTGTGTTCAGATGCTGCTTCTGCTGTTTCTGGTGTCTTGACAAATGCCTGCATCGTCTCAACCAGGTACATCTCTACCTCTTGCCCCAAAACCTACGGGAAACCAAAGGTGAGGGGAGGCTCTATCTTTTGGTTAGGAATTGGCTAATTTTTCTGTAAAAGGCCAGAATGTGTGAATATTTTAGACTTCTGGGCGATCCAGTCTTGGTCATATTACTCCACTCTACCGTGGTGGTAGCGAAGCAGCCAGAAAGATTGTGAATAAATGCACATGACTATGTTCCAGTACAACTTTATTTACAGACACTGAAATATGAATTTCATACTTATATGTGAAGAAATGTTCTTCTTTTGACTTTTTTCAACTGCAGTAGTCCCCATTTATGCAAAGGAGATATGTTCCAAGACCCCCGTGGGGGGGAGGGGTCTGAAACCATGCCTAGTTCCAAACCCTACATATACCTTGTCTTTTCTTATATATATATATGTATATATATGTGTGTGTGTGTATATATGTGTATATATATGTATTTGTGATAAAGTTTAATTTATAAATAGGCATAATAAGAGATCATCATCAAAAACAACTACTAAGAAAATAGAACAAAAGTAACAATACCGCCTAATAAAAATTACATGAATCTATTTCTCTTTCAGCATCTCATTTTCTCTATACCTTACTCAATATTTTCCAATGGTGGTTGACCACAGGTAACTGAAACTGTGAAAAGTGAAATCATGGATAAGGGGGTACAGCTGTATTTTTTAAAGATTTATTTATTTATGCATAGAAGAACTGGGGTACAGGCCAGAGGTGTGGAGGTGGGGAGGTGAGAGGATTCACCAGAAACAGAGTGGGGAGCAGAGCAGACAGAGCTACTGAAATACACTACTGAGGGGAGCAGTGGGCAAGACAGGAGAGGTCTGCTGCGCATGTGAGTCACCTCCCTGGCCAGGGATGGAACTCTTGCTGCAGTAGCTGTAGATTGCTTCATAGTGCTGACGCTTAACTTCTTGCGCCACCAGGGAGGCCCACAACTCTATTTTTTTAATGTGAAAAATATGCTCAGTTCCAGCCAGAGGAGAGCAGATTGCCTGAAGAACCTAGTTCCTGGGTACCAGTTTGCATATCCTACCTCAGAAACTTAGTCATTAAAGCCATGCCTAAAATTCTGAAAGAAATATGTTTTTCTTTTGGAAATAAAAAGGAGAGGAAGCTTTAGAAACCCTAGCGTAATGAATATATATCAGCTGAGAGCCAGTTTCCAATGTCTTCTCTAAGAACTATAATTTTCCTGAAATAGGAAAAGAATTGCCTCCCCAATTTTCTTTTGCCTCCCCTAATTTTAATATATTTCTCCAGGCTCTCCCTATCAAGCTATAAATATGTCTTTTAAAAAGAGAAAAATTATATACTGCAATTGTGTGAATTTCAGATTTCCTTCCTAGGTCTTTCAAATTGATGGAAATTTAAATATATGTTTTATTTTTCTGTAGATAATTTAGGAAATTTTAATAGCACTTAGTGAAATTTTCACAAAGCAGTATTTTTGTAACTGCGGGCTGTTTCACAATTTAAATGTCCACAGAAATTTCACTTGGAATAGTACTTCTTATTATTGCCATCACAATTAGAAGTCAGTGTGCCATTTGCAAGAAAGGGATTAATTAGACCATTGTGTATAATATCTTATAAGTGGTAATAATAGTACCTTTCGTTGTTCAGTGGAAAGTGTGGTCTTCTCAGAGTAAAGCTCTGTTTTTAGGGCCCTTAAGAATCTTGGAGTACATCTTAGACTATAGTTTGGATTGTTTGGATGACTTCAGCCAGCATGTATAAAACACAGTGAAATGACATGGCACCTTCCAGAATAGTTGTTATACAGTAAGTCCAGCCAAATGCTCTGAATGTCTCATCATGATGTAGATGCCAGCCCTGCTCTGCCTAGAGCTGTTGCGCCTATATCCAGACACCAACTTATTCCACAAAGGTTCTCTGATGAATCACTACCATGTACTATGATAAAACTATAGACATAAAAAACTATAGACATAAAGTCAAAGAAATATAAACTAGAAAGCCAAGCACTGGGACCTTTGCTATCCAGGTACATTGGCCATGTGGTCCTACGAGGTGCTCACATGCCATCCCACCTCACTGTTGTGTACAGCATCGGGTCTTTCTCTCCTAGTTTTCAAAGTGCCCTGTCAAAGCCTGTGGGCTCCCTGTGGATGCTGCAGAGACCACCATTTCAGGATGGGAAAAATGGGTGAGGAAGACAAGGGTGGGCTGTGGCTCCGGACCACAACCACCCTACCTTGTGTTCTAGCCAGAGGAGCTCCACTTTTGCTTAGTTAGTTCTGGGATTCCACTAAAGGTTTCACTTGAAGACAGCTCTCTGCTACTAAAACACATTTGCAAGCCACCATATCATATTGTTTTCTCTGCCTGTGACCCCAAAGGGCTTATTTTCTGCATTCTGAAATGTAACCAACTTATAGTAACCCAGTGCCTTTTTTGGAAGTGCAAAATGTTTCCAAGATCATAAGTAGCATACCACACTATAACTATCATTAAAAAAGTGAGGGATCCTTATTAACAGAATTACAGTGAGTGTGATTGTCACAAAAAGGCCAAGACAGCCCTATCTGTAGTAAACCAGTGGTGGAAACAGGGATAGACCAGATCTAGTCTTGGTGCCTGTGTGCCAGGTCTTGGTCTCAACCAGTTGTCAGAGCATCTTACCTGGAGGGGGTGCGGTGTGGGTGACCCCACAGGACTAGGACATGCTGCCAGCATGGGCAGTGCTGGGAGACCCAAGTTTCAAAGGACTGAGAAAGAAGAGGAGAAAGAATGGTAAAAAAAGAAAAACAGTTGATGTGAAGACTGATGAGGAGGGAAAGATCACTTCAGGTCTAAATCTACTACTAGAAAGTCTACTACTTTAAGAATACAAATGATTCTTATGTAACAATGGTCAGAACAATTGTTGATGTCATTTGGCAGTAGACAAAGGAAAGTCAGCTTAATGTGAGAGAAGGAATTTAGATTAGCCTTTTGAAAAATTCCCTGGCACTGGAATGAGTTACTAGGAGAAGATTTCTTTGGAAATCAGATTTAGAGCAGCCGAGGCTTCTTTTATTTTCTGTTTTGTGCAATAGGAGCTGGGAAATGCTAAAAGCGAACGAGATCTATTTGTTGCCATCAGAACCCAGATGCTCTTCTTAACTTAACATCAAGGAGCTGGTTGTGTTTCATCATTACTTCTTAAAAGCATAATCCATCTTCATAGTTCTGGGAGGGAGGCAGGGGACAGTTACTACATTTTATAGACTCTCAGCCTAAGGCTGCAGAGCAATTCACTTGCAGAGTAAAGGATAAAACCTCTATATCTCATCATTTCTCATTTACCTGTCTCTCTGCATCATACATATTAAATGTGTGTATGCCTGGAAAAATTGTACATGTATGGGTCACACTTTTATTTCTCCAACACCTAGGTGCTTTTGCTATGTGCAAACCACTTGGACCTGGGCATAAGGAGGACCAGACCATGGTGTACAGAATCAATATAAAGCAAAGCTAGGCCTTCAGGGAGCTGACAAGTCAGTTTGGGAATGTGAGGATGAGGCATTTGCACAAGACATTTATGTAACAGTTCAGTGTCTGTTTAAAGAACTGGACTGAGGACTTTGGAAACTCAGGAAAGGGGAATATTGGTAACTGGGAAAGTAGCTTGATTTGGCAATTAGGAGACATTTCGTAGAAGAGGTTCGATTTGACAGGCATAAGTACAGAGCACATACTGGCTGGCCAGTCACTGGGAACAACAGCAGCAATAGCTGTGAGCTGTTGACTCTGTAATACCAGAGGAGTGTGCCAAGCACTTTTCCTGTTGTTAGTTTTCACTGCAGCCCTTTGAGGTCCTATCCCCAATTTACAGATGAGGAAACTGAGAGGCTACATTGTCCATGGCAGACTTAGAATTTGAATTCACGTCTGTTTTGACTCTAGGACGCCATCCCTTAACCACTATGTATTTTTAAACAGCCAGGAGAAAGTTATACCTCCTTTCTGGGGTGGCTCTCTTTGGCAACTGTCCAAGTCAGGGTCCAGACAAATCAATGAGCAAGTCTTGTTACAGGGCAGATTTTTGTGGAGGAGGACAGAAAAGGTGTGGAGACTGAAAGGGCATTAGGGATGAATCAGCAATTACAGATCCAGTAAAGACTTGTCCTTTGCACCTCCTCTCTTCAGGCAAGTCAGTGTCAAAACTTCTAGGGGGCTATACTTGCTCTTCTCACAGCTTTTCAGGCAAGCAGATCCTGCAGGCTTCCCAGCTGCAGCACTTTTTAGGGACCTGGCTGAGATGTTCCCCTGTGGAACTCTGCAAGTGAGCCCATCTTGTTGGTCCTTATGGTGTCCACATGCAGCTTCTCCTAAGTGCACATCTCTTATCTGCTACAGACACACTCATCTATGCCAGCGCTGATGTTGGTTTCAGGTTAGTGTTCCTGTAAGTGAAATCCACTGGTGGGCCATAGGACTCTTCCTGACAGTTCCAGATTGAACTGAACTTTTCAGTATGTCCTTTTTTCATTTCTTAAAGGTAAAATTTCATGGATTTTCATTTTCATATGCAACCCAGGGCTATTTATCAATCAGTAAAGTACAAAGTGTATAACTAAAGCTGTTTAAAATGTGTCATTGATGAGCCAAAATTGGTGTTTTACTTAGTTTACTGAGGACACGAATTCATTATTATATTAAGATATCTGGCTGTCCAGGCCACCCTGCAAGCCTGTGAGCGTGCACATGGGGAGAGCTGGGATTTGCAAACTGGGAAAAGAACACTTTGCAAGGAGTATATCACCAGTGCTCTTGGGTTGGCTGTGTGGTTCAATTGCAGTTATTTTTTTTAGATTTGTTTTTATTTACTTATGCATAAAAAAACTGGGGTGTAGGCCAGAGGTGTGGGGGTTCAGAGGATTTACCAGAGATAGAGTGGGGAGCAGAACAGACAGATTGACTGAAATACACTGCTGACGGGAGCAGCAGGCGAGAGAGGAAAGGTCTGCTGTGCCATGTGGGTCAGCTCCCCTCCTGGGGATCGAATTCGTTCTGCAGTGGCCACAGATAGCTTCATGGTGCTGACGCTTAACCCCTTGCACCACCAGGGAGGCCCCTCAACCCTTCGTTCTTCTAGCAGAAGTGGAAACAGGTGTAGGAAGTGAGCTGTGGACTGAGATCAAGCTAGTGCTCCTGTAAGTGAAAGGACTACTTCCTTTCTAGTCCCCTGGGAGGAACACCAGTTAAAGGTGAAATTCTTAAGGTGTACAACAGTTGGCATCTGCCTTCTTTGGAGAACCTGAGTAAATTCCTCCACCTTACTAACCTTCTGCAAAATGAAGGGGTCAAATTAAATCACCTGGAAACCTTCCTGCAGCTTTCTGACCCTTGCAGGGGTGCCTGACTGAGAGCAGGGACAGGTGGGCGCCATCCTGCTGTGTGGCCACTGTGACACTTAGCATGGGAGTGGGCAAGATGGAAAATAGGTGAACTGCATGATTTCCTGTCACATTGTAAAGGACAGGGCCATTTTTTTCACATTGTACTTATCCACGGTGAGGAATTCCCTGGAATCACAAACATCAGGAGTGGTTTTATGTTGCCCTGATCTTGAGCTTCCAGAATCTTGTGTAGTGGCCTGAGGATGTGAATGGACATGAAGGAGCCAGCTATCTGCATCTGCATACAGAGATGCTTCCTGTCCTGCTGTGGCAGGGTGAGGACAAGAAATAAATGAAATAAGGGGGATGTGATGCTGGTAAAATGCCAGTCACCCTAGTCACTCTTGACGGTGAAGAGAGTAGCCTAGTGGCAACACCCTTCACACCTTATTCCAACCAGCAGTCATAATGCAAGATGGCAGGGGGCCAGATCAATCTCTGGGGTACTTCACAATCATCCACCTGAAGGGAGGGCCAGACCCTCGGGCCTGCCTGTACACAGTCCAGCATCTGTCTAGAGATGAGCTACCAAGTAAATGCACAGACTGTGACCTCTTGGTGTTTGATCAGAAATGCTCATGACTTCCTATCCTTCTGACTAACAAATATACTGGTCAGAAAGACCCCAAATGTAAGTGCAGTGCAGGGAAAAACTTGCTGCTACTTGGAAAATACATACATCTCTCCCCTTCCAACTTCACAGTCCACCCCCCAACCCACAGTGCCTGCCAATGCTTTTTTTTTTTTTTTTTTTTTTTTGAGCCTACATAATGTTGGTCTCTGTCTTGTAAACCTTTGCGGCCAACTTGACTTTGTAATACCACAAAGCCTCCCTGCCCCCTTCCTTGCAGTTAGCTCAGCTTCAATGATCCCCTTTCTCGCAGTCCATCAATAGCTCAGGCTCTCGGTGACTTCCATGTCAGGTTTTGGTTCATCCCCAGCCAGCTGGCTGATCTCCAATAACTCCCTCCTCTCCCCAGAGCAGCATGTGCATCTCAGGGGGAAAAAAGGATTGACTATTGGGCAACTTCTCTAACTAGATTATGAAAATGATCTAAAGGTCTTAAGAGGATGCAGTTCTCTTACTCGCTGACCCCTCCATAATAGGTAGCCTCACCCGGGGCATCTGGGCAGCTATTTTTTCAATGACAGCAAGGTTCTGAATCTTCTCACCCCCACCCACTGGCTGGGAGCTATTCTGGGGCAGCCAGCTGATGGTGAGAGCCCTGGAGAGGGGCCTCCATGTGTGCATGTTTTAGAAAGAAACTCATATTTGTGTCCATATGATGGTTTGTATTAAGACCCATTTATAGACAACAGTAATCCTCACAGCCCAGCTGTTTCATGGCAAATGCTACTACCCTGGCTTTAGATAGAAAGGAATTAAGACACCTATTTGTCAGAGGCCCCAGACTGTCTGGAAGAAAACTATCTTATTCCTGGCACATGGCTTAGACCCTGCTGCACTTAGGGCTGTGGCTTTAAGTGCCTTCCCTGAGAATAGCAGCCTCCCTGGAGCCCAGCTCCCACCTGCTGTGGGCGTGTTGCAAGGTTCAGGGCTCAGGAGGGTGGGGCCCTAATGCCCTCTACCCCAGTGGGCCTTAGCACCCTCTCCTCCTTTGGGGATAAGGCCCACATGAGCAGCTGCCATCTTAGGTGGGCTACTGAAGTCCTTCCTGACTTGAAATTCTTCTGCCTGCTAGGAGAGGCTATTAATATTTGTCGAATGAATATCGCCTCACTATAGGGAAGGGAGGATAAATTAGGCAGAGAGCTCTCGGTCAATTGAAGAACCCTCCTGGGAGGCAACTGAGTCTTATTCATCAGTTACTTGACTCCCTTTAAAGTATGCGGCCCATCCTGGGTGCTGCCATGTGCCAAGCTCTATACTGAATGCTTCGTCTATATTAGCTGCTTTCGTCCTCATAGATAATCCTGTGTGAGAGAGATTTTTATCCCTCTTATTTTTTAAATAGATGAGGATGCTTAGGATCAGAAAGGTTAAGTAGCAACCTGCTGCAGGTTGGACAGGAGGAAAGTAACAGCTGAGTGTGGGGATTTAGACACCAAACAGGTCATTGTCTCCCTCTGATCCAAATTCTGAACAATTGAGAGATGAAGATTAAATATACTACCTTAAATAGCTAAAGAGCAGATTGGGGTTTACATTGTGGAAATAGCTTATTAATGTTTCATCCCTGAATCAGAAAGACCAGCCTACCCTCTTTTAGGTCTCCAGAGACTTTGCCGTGGGGTCTCCTTGCAAACTGACAGCTGAGGAGCTGAGCAGACACTTCTCCGAAAATGGCTAAGGCTGAGCCAGCCTGTGCTCTGCCAATCATTCAAACATCACCCAGACCCTGAAGTCATGCTCCTGCCCTGAAACTAATGAGAGGTATCACCC